GTTATTAATGAGACTAAATGAAAAACAGGTATAAAATACTATATGACAGTAACAAAAAAGTTGTTAAAAATAACAAGAATAGAGTTTAAAAGGGGAGTGATTTGTAAAATATCCAAAAAGAAAAATATACAGTTCTGTTTCATATGGGTGTTGAGAGATGTATCCATAGATCTCTTAATGTTGCTCTCAAAGTGTACCAGATTGATGCTTTTAACTTCAATATTTAAAAAAAAATCTTCCCGGGGGAGCATGCCCCCGGACCCCCCTAGAGGAGGTTAGCCCCCCCCCCACTTAAATCATGTTCACATGGATAGGATACTAAATACATTTGCACACATCTTGTGTCCATATCTTTCTGTTTTGGTGGTCATGCCACACCGTGCACATGCATGCATATGTGAGTCATGGTGAGATATCTGGATTAAGAGGTTGCTTTTTCGTTGCACAGCATGAAAGAAAGGCCAAATGAATGGGCTGTGATTTTAGTTTTTTTAAGCAAAAGTTGAGTTCAATAATTTGTACGACCCTCGGAGGATGTTGTAAAAATTGAAAGGAAAAAGGTTCCCCACCCCTGCTGCAAATAATAATAAAACCCCTTGATTTATAACTTAACATCTCTGTCTCCTATTGATCTGAGTATATTATAAAGAATAGCAGTTAACTGAAGCATTATAGCACAGGCCTTTGTCAGATGGTATATTACGCTGTTTTTTTTCTGCTTCGAATAGTTCTCTCTTTGTTCACCATACCTGTGTTTGCATCCCTATAACCAATGAGCACCTGCATGTGTGTGAGAATATCCCTGACTCCATGTCAGCCCAGATTTACAAACTCCTGGCAGGACAAGCTCCAGCTCAATTCTCGCACTGAATTAAAAAAAGTGAGTGAGGGACTGCAATATAAGAGGGAAAGAAAGAGAAACTTTAAAACTGTTCAGTTGTTATGATGTGTAAAGACTGATATTGTTCTATAATCGGCTGAAACTGTTAAGTCATGCTGTGAAACGGTTAACAAAGAAAAAGGGACACTCAAGCTGCTGCTACACTTTATTTTATTTATCTAAAATTAAGCACTTTTAAGATGCACATATTTTCAAAAGCTATTTTATTTATTTTCTCTATTTTATTTGTAAATGCAGCCCGAGAGGAACATTACACATATCCACAGTATTTACTGTATATCTGTATAGTTCAATGTTAATTGACAATAAATATTGTTGTTTTTGAATTGTACTTTCTTTATTTGATTGGCAGTCAGTTGTTGATTACATGCAGACGTTGATAAAGCTACAGCTACTTCAATATATATATCACACTAATTCATGAAGCAAGTTAGACATTTTGATGTTCCCGGACCTTTGCATGGGGAGATTTTCTCTAACTGGACCTCGTTGAATTTTAGTTGAAGACCCCTGGTCTAGAGGCAAGAGCTTCGGAGCTAAGAGGTGGCGTCGCTTACGTCTCTCTTACGTCGAGGCGTGCAGGAAACTAAACCCTCCTCCCCTGAACATGGGTCGACTGTCATGCCTGCCTACAAGCAGTAGTGCTTATAAACACACTTTATAAAGTCAGGCAACACTAACCAGGCTTCGTGTGATTCTGTTTATTTGTACCTTACTTTGACCATCCGTTCACTGTTATTGATCATTGTGGAGAGAGGCAGACGTTTTGTTTTATAGCAGCTATCGGATGGAATCAATACATGGGCTGCACAGGTTGTCGTGTCCGACTATCACAAGTAGAATCATAATAAAAATACGCCTGTAAAATGTGCCTGTAGAAAACGGTTTATGCCACAATATGATAGCAATAGCAAGTAGTCAGTTTAGCTTCGGTTGCTATGCTAACATCACCCATTTTATACCAGAGAAACTTTCATAACAGCGTTGTGATACCAAACAGCGTCAATTCAGACTGACACACATTCACTTAGGCTAAGGGGAACTGGAGATATGTATCAGCTGCTTGTGTGAGTCGGACAAGGAATACTTTAGAGCGGCCGCTGCAGTGTGAGCTAACCGTGAGCTAACGGAGTAGAATAAACTCCCGTGGAAGAGCAGCGGTCGGTAAATGCTGCAGAAACACATTAATAAACAATGAACCACGGCACTCTGGAGCAAAGTATAAGGTTGGAGAAGTCGTTATTCAATTTATTCTGGCTTCGTGTGATTAAAAGCAACACGATCATCGACCCGACGCAGTTCCCCGTTGTTGTGAGCGCCGTAATGCCGTTGGGGAGCAAATCAGCGATGTAAACGGTGACGTCATGACGCAGCAGCGGCAGCACCAGTCGGGGGCTGGGCGGTGTGAACAGAGCGGGAGCAGAAAAGGGAAACAGGAGCTGAACCAGAAAAGCCTAGCTCGGAGCTAGAAAGGGAAAAGCGCTGGTGTGAAAGCCGCATGAGAGTTGCTCATTAGCGCATGATGATAAAATTGCCCAACTTTTGAGAGAGTGAAACGTCACAGATTACCCGGCATGCCTGAGAAGTACCCGTATGTGCGCTCATAGCGCATGCGCAACTTTAACCAAAATGCTCGTTCATATCAAGCACGTCAATTTGCTTACACGTAACAGCACCGCGCGTTCATGACAGCATGGTAATGGGTTGTTGTTATCATGGATTTGATATTAACGAGGCGGCAGTTAGCAGCTAGCGGCTAGCTAGTAATGATGCTAATATACACATCAATCGTTATGTACTTATATTACGTTGTAACAGGATCTAGTGATATCCAACAGAGCTTCATTTAGCATGAAATAATTATTGCACTGTATATATACACACACAGTACAATACGCTTCTTAGTGCAATAATAAGCTACAGGGACGTTAATCTAACGTCGGTAATATTAACTTTATTCAATACAACATTTACGGTACAAGATTTAATCATACAGCCCATGTAATATACTATTTTACAAATGATGAATTACAGCAAACATGTGCAATATATATCCATTATTACAGCTCCGTGGACTGGCAGTAAGGCGATATGGGTCCGTTGTTATTGTGCATCCATGGGTAAAGATAAACGCATGTAGTGCTGAACACGTAACTTGAACGTGCAGGGGGGCGCGATCCCGTGGGTTAGATGCGCGTTCATAATGCAGAGGGAAATAACTCTCAGAATAACGTTATTAGCACATTTTTACAACTTGAGGAACGAATGTTTTTAATAAGGGCTATACAAACGTTCATACTGGGTAGTTTATTTAGTTTAAAAAAAATGATCCAACGAGTTACAGACCACTCTTTCTCCATGTAAGTCAATGGGAAAAAGTGTTTCCGGGCCTGGCAACCAAACGGATGTGCAGTACCGCCGTTTGGCCACCACGAATATTTTCATCTGAGTCCGGCGCACTTCCTGGGTGCTTGAATCCACCCCCAGGGACTTTTTCCAGTGTGAACGCGATCTGTACTTAGTTCATGAGAACTAAAGAGTTCACATGAACTAAGTTCACATAAACCTTTGTGGGAAAAGTACCGCAGTGTGAATGCGCCTATAGATAAACGTGGGTTCCAGTGAGCCACATCCAGTGATGGAACAACTGCCCTGTGTCTTTAAAATCATCACAGAGTATTTGATAACATGTACACCATGACAACAGCTACAGAGCAGTTAATACTGTCAGAATAAACCCCCAATAGTCCTGTAACCCAGAGTTTAGGCTGTCTCACAAGCGGCAACACAACTTCAGTCCTGTTGGGGGCTCTGTGAGACTTGCTGCATGCTAACATGCTCACAATGACTATGCTAACATGCAAACTTAAGGCAGCTTTGGTGTTGAACATTATAATAACATGCTAACATCAGCTCATTATTATGATTGTTTCCAAATTATTTTGTACCTGTGTTATTAATAACGGTTGCATACTTAGCCATTTCGTTCCTCACTTTACCTGCACTATCTGCTGTTATAATAATGTATGTTCCCGTTGCGGGATAAATAAAGGATTTCTGATTCTGATAGCCCTTAACAAAAAGAACAGCTTTGGTTGATGGGAATGTCATTAGTCGAGCAGGTATTTTGATATAAACCAATTTTGTAAATATTGTACAATATTTACTTAAAGTTGTTATATAACCCAAAAGTCACCAGATCATCAAAGTTATTACAATTGTTCCTGAAGAGCACATTATACTGTTTACTACATCTAATGAGATCCAGTAAACACTCAAGTTATTCCCAAACAATGTCATTATCCACCAAATGATTGTTTTTAATTGTCTTTATTCGTTGTAAAATGGTCTTCACAGTACAGAGTACAACTGTACAGGCTGCTGTCATAGAAAGGAGAGCTTTAGTACAATGCTTTGTATGCAAAGCATGTTCTGATTGGAGGTTCTATAAAGCTGGATTTTAGGGGTCAAAAAGTGGAGTGAACTTTGGGTAACTTCCACTAAATATGAAATCAAAATAGCATGTGTGTGTATCATCTGACTATGATATACATGTCTGTTCTATACATTAAATGTCCTGTGTTCTCCTTTAAAGAAACTTCAGCACATGTATATTATGTATCTTTCGGTTTCATAAATGTGCGTCCTGCACCAATCAGAATATTACATCCTCCACCATTGAGTGTAGCAGACAAAACCTATTCATTTTTATTTTATAAATACGTTGCTGGATTAGTCTTATGGATAAATCATGGTGTTCAAACACATAATGTATCACTTTTTTCCGGCTCTATTTTCTTAAATATCTTTAAAATTAGTGTTTACAAGTGTAAAAGTTCCAGAGAGATATAAATAAGAAATACAACTCGGTCTGGCTCTTATATAAAGTTTTAATTCAATTGTGTGTTAAGTAATTGTTTGTGTTCTATAATTGGACTGCATCAGTTCTGCATTTACATTAAAAGAAACATGGTAATCTTGGCTACTTGTTTTTCACGGTTGTTCATTGCAGAGAGCTCTATTATTTTTGATGGTCTTATTATGTATTCCAGCCGCTGTTCTCGTGTTCACTTGGTGTTATCGCGGGAAGTGGCGAAGAGATACGCTAGCTCCGTTTACCTATCGTGTAACTGACAGAAAGCCTAGCCTGGAGTTCCTCAGCGCTGATGGTGAATAGCCACTGCTGCGGTAACGGGCGGAGGAGAAGAAGCCGCAGAAGGAGTCAGCAGTGGCAGAGGAGTAATAGTACGCAGATAGTCTTATTAAATTAACAGTATTATTGTATCGTCGGATCATTACAAACGCCAGAAAGGAAGGGAAGGGAAAATAAGGAAAGATGGCGGCCGCGGCCTCGCCGGGCTCCGGCTCGTCCACCTCTTCAGACTGGATTGTACTGAGAGACGGTTGCCTGCGTTGCGACGAGGAGGGCCTGCGAAGCCTTTCCTACCACCCGGCCCTCAACGCTATCCTGGCCGTCACCAGCCGCGGCAGCATTAAAGTCATAGACGGCACTTCGGGGGCCATTCTCCAGGCTTCAGCGTTGCACGGTAAGCATCCGAGTCCTCTGTCAGCCCTGACACCAACAGTGTGAGAAACCAGCCTCTGGTTGTCAACACACACTAACGCTAAACACGACACAGGCTAGCGCTAGCTGTTCCTAGTAGTGTTCTTTGGGCCTAGTTACATTATTTGTACAGGATTCCTTTTGGTTTTGCTTTTACATCGTCTTTGGACGTTGAGTGGTTTATCTTCAAATGTACAGTAGTGTTTCTCCAGCGTCTGTGCTTGCTTCTGTTTACCACCGTTATGTCATATACCACGCAAGCTAATAGCTAGCTGGTTAACATAGCACAGCGCTAGTTAGCCGGGCAACCTTTCCTGACAGTTCCTGTCATTCTAGTGGTCAGTCACGATATGTCGTTATATTGACACTTCATGTCGAGGCACTAATGTAGCAAACCTAATGTTAGCTAGTTTAAGGTAGTAACGTTACATAATGGATATGGGAGTTACTGTGACAGCCACTAAGCTAGCAAGCGGCACTTTAGCTGCTTAACTCCACAGCCTATGGTGTTAACTGTCAGTCATTTACGGTCTGATGCGGAAAGTAAGCTTTTCTTGATGTTGCAGTTTTCTGTAATAAGAGGTGGAAGAAATACTCAGATCTTATACTTAAGTAAAAGTAGAAGTACCAGAGTTTAGGAATACTCGGTTACAGTAAAACTTCTGCAATTAAAATTGTACTCAAGTAAAAGTAGATAAGTATTAGCATCAAAATATACTTAAAGGACCCAAAAGTAAAAGTATACATTATGCAGATCAGCCAATATCAGAATAATTCATATCATATGTTTTGGTTATAATGATTGATCATGAAAGTGTTCTCAAAGCTGGTAAAGGTGCAGCTAGTTTGAATGACTTTGTATACTGCAGGGGAGCTGTGGGTTTTTTTCGGAAGTTTTTCCTTGTACGATGTGAGGGTCTGAGGACAGAGGGTCTGAGGACAGAGGGTCTAAGGACAGAGGGTCTAAGGACAGAGGGTCTGAGGACAGAGGGTCTGAGGACAGAGGGTCTGAGGACAGAGGGTCTGAGGACAGAGGGTCTGAGGACAGAGGGTCTGAGGACAGAGGGTCTGAGGACAGAGGGTGTCGTATTGTCATACTGATATTCTGTTCACACTGTGAAGTCCACTGAGACAAATGTAACATTTGTGATATTGGGCTATAAATAAACATTGATTGATAGATAGCTGGTGGATTTACTCCAGGTGGAACTAAAGTCTGATTTAACACTTTGATTGTATTTCAGATCATTCATCCAGATCTGTAAAGTTACTAAATAAATGTATTGGAGTAAAATTAAACACTTTACCTCTGATTGTAGTGGGGTAGAAGTACTAAGTAGCAAAACAATTGAAATCCTCAAATAAAGTGAGTCCCTCAAAATTCTACTTAAGTACAGTACTTGAGTAAATGTACTTGGCTACTTTACACCACTGGGTGGAAGAAAGCAATATTTGCTTGCTTTGCTTATTTGCTAATTCAGTCAAGCAACCAGCCTAACACTTGTCTTGTTTGTTTTGCACATCTGCGTGCACAGTACAGTCACAATGTTACTGACATGTACATAACATGTACATGTACATAACATGTACATGTACATAACATTGACATGTACATAACATTGACATGTACATAACATTGACATGTACTTAACATTGACATGTACTTAACATTGACATGTACATAACATGTACATAACATTGAAATGTACATAACATGTACATGTACATAACATTGACATGTACATAACATTGAAATGTACATAACATGTACATGTACATAACATTGACATGTACATAACATGTACATGTACATAACATTGACATGTACATAACATGTACATGTACATAACATTGACATGTACATAACATTGACATGTACATAACATGTACATGTACATAACATTGACATGTACATAACATTGACATGTACATAACATTGACATGTACTTAACATTGACATGTACATAACATGTACATGTACATAACATTGACATGTACATAACATGTACATGTACATAACATTGAAATGTACATAACATGTACATGTACATAACATTGACATGTACATAACATTGAAATGTACATAACATGTACATGTACATAACATTGACATGTACATAACATGTACATGTACATAACATTGACATGTACATAACATTGACATGTACATAACATGTACATGTACATAACATTGACATGTACATAACATTGACATGTACATAACATTGACATGTACTTAACATTGACATGTACATAACATTGACATGTACATAACATTGACATGTACATAACATTGACATGTACATAACATTGACATGTACATAACATTGACATGTACATAACATTGACATGTACATAACATGTACATGTACATAACATTGACATGTACATAACATTGAAATGTACATAACATTGACATGTACATAACATTGACATGTACATAACATTGACATGTACATAACATTGAAATGTACTTAACATTGACATGTACTTAACATTGACATGTACATAACATTGACATGTACATAACATTGAAATGTACATAACATTGACATGTACATAACATTGACATGTACATAACATTGACATGTACATAACATTGAAATGTACTTAACATTGACATGTACATAACATGTACATGTACTTAACATTGACATGTACATAACATTGACATGTACTTAACATTGACATGTACATAACATTGACATGTACTTAACATTGACATGTACTTAACATTGACATGTACTTAACATTGACATGTACATAACATTGACATGTACATAACATGTACATAACATGTACATGTACATAACATTGACATGTACATAACATTGAAATGTACATAACATGTACATGTACATAACATTGAAATGTACATGTACATGTACATAACATTGACATGTACATAACATTGACATGTACTTAACATTGACATGTACTTAACATTGACATGTACTTAACATTGACATGTACATAACATGTACATGTACATAACATGTACATAACATTGACATGTACATGTTATGTACATGTACATAACATGTACATGTACATAACATGTACATGTACATAACATGTAAATGTACATAACATGTACATGTACATAACATTGACATGTACATAACATTGACATGTACATAACATGTACATGTACATAACATGTAAATGTACATAACATGTACATGTACTTAACATTGACATGTACATAACATGTACATGTACATAACATGTACATGTACATAACATGTACATGTACTTAACATTGACATGTACTTAACATTGACATGTACTTAACATTGACATGTACATAACATGTACATGTACATAACATGTACATAACATTGACATGTACATGTTATGTACATGTACATAACATGTACATGTACATAACATGTACATGTACATAACATGTAAATGTACATAACATGTACATGTACATAACATTGACATGTACATAACATTGACATGTACATAACATGTACATGTACATAACATGTAAATGTACATAACATGTACATGTACTTAACATTGACATGTACATAACATGTACATGTACATAACATGTACATGTACATAACATGTACATGTACATAACATGTACATGTACTTAACATTGAAAGTTTCCAGAGACTTGGAAAGTCCTTCCACAAGCTGTGGTCCACGCGCCTGCTAACTGCAATGCTGACCCGTGTCCTCTGCTCTGTTCTCACATCATAACACGGGGCAAAGCACTTCTCTTTTAGAAGCTTGAGAGCATTTAAACACACATGGTTTGGGTGTTTACAAGTGTTAACATCATACATCGTGGAAGATGCGGATGGATGTCAGTATTCATCGTTGCCTTTATATCGTTGAACAAAAGATTGTTGGTTAGTACCTTTCTCCATATGAAGTGTTTACTGTGATTAAGAACCCATGGCTCAGTCAGTATGAAGTAGTTGTGATGAGGCTGCTGACTGGAAACAGTATACACACTTTCTCACATAAATACTGCTTGATTGTAGAACTGTGATAGTGTGTACTGCCCATTGTGTTTGATGGCCTCGCCTATTGGAGGATTGGTCATATGCCTTTTGAGATGTAGCATATCACCGTTTGAGAGTTACTATGATAATGATGATAACAACAATAGTAATAATCATCATAATAATAATAATGAGAACATGCTTTTTCTCACTTTTCAAAACAATGCAACAGTCTTCTAAGCAGCACCCAACCTTTTCTCTAAACACAATGGTCTGTCATGTCTTTGTGAGGAAAGGGTTTTCTGCAGTGGTTATCTGTCTGCTCTGTGTGTCAGCCCTGGGTGTAACCCCCCCCCTGACCCAATGTCAGCTGGGATACAGCTCCATGTGAAAGCACAAGTGGTTACAATCAAATGTATGATTTTTCTGCAAACAGCTAATGTTGATACAAATCTTGCTCCAATGGAAGCTGTTTATACTGTACATAAAAGAGACACTGTACATGCAATACTGAGCTGTTGGATATTCAATTGACTTGACTTTAAAGTGACTTGAATCTCAATATATTTACTGCACCGGCTCCTGGTTTCCAGGTCCGGACTGATGTGTCTGTCACCATCGGGGTGATGGATGCTTGGTCCCAGTTGAACCCCAATGCATGGTTATGTCACCTCTAGATGTCTGGGTTCTGCCTGGTGTCGTCACATCCATTACTAAAGGATGACAAAAGCAGAGATGGAATGATCCTGACACAATGTTTGGGTGTTTCCATGTTCGTCACATTTGACATTTGATAAGAAACAACAACATTATGATCAATGCCCCTCACTGCATTTCTGCTTACCATTATAATATTTACAAATCTTATTTTGCTTCAATTGTTTTTGACTTCAATGAATTCGCCAAGGACTGGATACTTACCTTAAGGTGCCCAGTATCTTGGCACTTAGTTGCATTACAATATTGTAAGGGTAACTCCGAGTCTTCAGTATAGCAAAGTGTGCTTTGCCTGAAAAGCTTGAAACTGACCCCAAGAAGTGCTTACATTTTCATTTGTAAAAGGTGTAGGAAGCCTGTAGATTGTATGTGAATTATATACGCTTAGATATAAATGCCTACATTTTCAAAGATGCTCTTCTCGTTGTTTAATAATAATGCTGTTTTTGTTTGGTTAGGCTGCTGGTTGTTTTGTCAAGCGTTCAAACATTACCCATCCTCCAACCAACCCAACCCTCTTTTTTGTCAATCACCAACCATTGAAATAGACTACACAAAAGGGAGATACCTTAAGTTGTTGCCAGGGCAATTCAAGTACATTTCTATAAACACAACTCATATTATGAGCACACATTGTGTAAAACCGCAATTCAGCAAAGTATGGTATGATATGGTAAATACAGATCTGTTTTCAATTCCACAGTAGAGATAAGAAAATGACCATGAAAAGGTTTGGCTTTCATTTGTTTGGCACAAGATGGTAGAGCAAACATGGCGAATAACAGACGTTTCCCTGTATTATTATCTCAAAGTACAATCGACCAAAGATACATGTATCTTAACCGTATTTCAGGTAGATATTTAGCCTTCATTCCAGCCTCCCTTCCTTCACACTGTCTGCTGTCTTCTGTTCCTCTCACAGCTAAACCTGGCGGCCGTGTCAGGTGTCAGTACTTTCCCGCAGTGGACAAGGTGCTTTTTGTGGACGACTATGCAGTGGGATGCAGGAAGGACCTGAATGGCATCCTGCTCCTGGACACAGCTCTGCAGCCTCCTGTGGCAAAGCCGGAGGACATGGTCCAGCTGGAGCTGCCGGTCACAGAGGTGAGGGACCACTGTTCAGAGAGACTGACCTCATATTCACATGTGTGTGCCCTTTAAAGATGTGTGTCCTTAACCCTTTCATTCCTCCCTCAGTATATAAGCCCTCATTGTTATTACTACTGCAGTGCCTGTTTGGGTCTTTCTGTGGTTTTGAAGTGAATAATTGATTGCCTCAACTAAGTGAAAGCTCCCTGAACAGGTGGTGTTGTTCCTTGGAGCAAGCAGGAACATTCATTGTTTATGTTAATTGCTAACAGCTAACACAAACTATGTTGTTCTAAATAAAAGTCAAACATTGACTATGTTGGCAGAATGTGTGTTAAACATCACACTTCTTGATGTTTAACGACCTGATGTCACAACCTGTATATTCAAATAGTTTTAGATACTACACAAGGCACATTTACACAAGCCATGTTTTGTCATTGGTGCAACATTTGGCAGGAAATAAACTGGTGCTGACGCTTACAGAGGCCTTGCTTAGGCCATTTAAGGATGTGTTGCCACAACTCATCTGCTGAAACACAGGAGCACTCATCTGCTATTATATCCTACTATTCAACTGCATCCCAACAGCTGTACCTAAACAATTATTTAAGGTACAAATGATCTGACACTTTTCTGTGGGGCCACTTGGGTCTGAATGTGTCTACAGTGACATGTGACTGAAGTCATATAATCATGCAATAAATGGCTCAACAACCCATGAAATCCTTTATTTGTTAAGAAGATGGTACCTGTTGATGATGGTAACTGTGTGTGTGTTTGTCTGTTGTTAGGCCCAGCAGATGCTGTCAGCCTGTCAGGAAAAGATTGACGTGTCTAACACAGAGGGCTATGAACTCTTTATCACCCTGCTCAAAGAAGGCCTGAAGAATACCTCACACGAGACGGCAGCCAATCACAAAGTGGCCAAGGTAAGTCTGAAACCTTTCAAAAAGTGACATTTTTAAAAGTGTTACATCTTGTATAAATAGATGCTTACTTTCCATGTTAATATCAACACATTAGGGTTATGTCATTTAGCTGTTAGTGACACCTTAAAGTCACGCACGTGTTTCAGTATGGGATGTTTTCGAAGATCATGTGAGAGGAGTCGGTGAAGGAAGACTAATGATCCTCCCACTCAGGCCACTCAGAGTACTGCAGAGTCATTCATTCCACTTGTTCCACTGCCTCTGCTTTCTGGGTCCCTATTGCTCTTACTTCTCTTACTGCCTTTGGGCAATAGAAGAGCCGCATTCATTGTAGGTTAGGTTCCTTAGGGTGGACACTTGTATAATGTACTGCCATCCAATGCAATAGCCTCAAATGAATATGTGCTCTGTAAAGCTAACGTTTAATTATTGTTAACACTGAGCTGTTGATTAAACCGATGTTATGGTGTTGGATTACATTATCTTTGACCGATTCCTTGCTTTTAGATTTAAGTATATAGGTAAAAGTACAAAATACCTCTTAGTACGTTCTAGGATACAAATTGAATTCACACAATTTCTTTCAAACCGAGGTGTAATTGTTTTTTCTCACAGCCAGTTTAAACACAGCCGTGTTTGGCACAGCTAGTTTTCTCTCCCAAATATTGATAGAATATCAAGCTGTGACTAGGGCCCCAATCTGGCTAAAGCTAAGTATTAAGTCATGTCAGGACTCTCTGACTGGGATGTAAACACCAGCACATCAAGGTAGCACTTTAAACCTATTGGTTTCAATAATAGTCTAATGTTCTAAAGGAGAGATAACACATTCAACGTACAAAATGTACTGGCAGTTTATTTGTATGTCGCATTAGCAGATCAATATTATTTGTCTTCCTTGTGTATCCAGTACAGTGCGTGTACATGTGTAGCCTGGTGGAGCCCAAACACGGGAGGTGTGTGTTTTGGTGCAGCAAAGGACAATGTGACTTGGCTTGTGCAAAATAAGGAGGAAATAACCATATTTACAAAGTGAACCTTATTCAATTGTTTTCTGGACCTGATTTTCTATGAACACAATTCAATGTAAACAGCAACATCCCTTCTCAAGTGTCATTGCTTACGTGAATGTTTCCTAAAGAACTTAAGAATGTGTTTACTTCTTTGAGCTGCATTACATCGTAATGGTAACACTAGTCATCATGTACTCAAATATACCTGCACCAGTGTCTGCGTGACTGTAAATTCACACCTTCATGATATAGCTAGCTCCTAGTGATCTGCTTTTTCTTTTACTGCCATTCAATCCATCTCTCCTCTCTCTGATGTTTGGCTTCTCTTTCAGTGGGCGACAGTGACCCTCCAGCTTCCCCACCACGTGCTGAAGCTGGTGGCCAGTGCCATTGTCAATGAGCTCAAGAAGATAAACCAGAACGTAGCTGCCTTGTCTGTGGCCTCATCCATCATGGACAGGCTCTCCTACCTCTTATCAAGCGCCAGGCCTGAGCTTGGTGTGGGCCCCGGGCGCTCTGTAGATAGGTGAGCAAGCAGGAAATAGTGATTTCTCAACAACTTTTGTAGCATCACTCTGTAATCTATGATACGCAACACGCATATGACTGATTGTAAACAGTCCACTACAAAACAGGAACTGTGATACATTCCACACGTAACGTAAAACTGAACGTGTTCCTTATTTGTTCTCTGCAGGTCTTTGATGTACAGTGAGGCCAACAGGAGGGAGACTTTTACATCGTGGCCCCATGCTGGGTACAGGTGGGCTCAGCCTGATCCAATGGCACAAGCAGGGTTTTACCACCAGGTAGGTTCTGACAGAGGAGCACAGCAGTCTGTAGCTTTACATCCGTTTACTCACATGCACATTCAAATCATTTGCATGCAGTCCAGGGGATTTTTGACGGCTTTTGAATGCTGTACACAACAATAGATGTGAACTCTTGGTAGATAGATCATCTCATGGTCCCTTTCAAAGTAAGCATTGTATGTATTATAACAGTCTCTGTGCACCAAGTCTTCCTTACTTAAAAGCACACTGCTCCACCTCTGGTGGACAGCTGAACATCTACATGGTGCGTAAGGGCCTTTACCGGAGTTTTCTGCTGGTTTATCCGCCAGGAGGATGTACTGTTAGCACTGTTAGCTTAATAACAAACTGTTGCGCAATTTTTCCAAACAAATCAGGATGTTGCAGCCTTGCATTGTGCATGCTTCACCAAATTGGTCCAGTGCAGACATTTATTAATCATTGCTATTTCTTGTAATATCAATGCTGTGTATTTTAACCTGTGGTTGAAATGCGGCTGTGTAAGTGTTTGTCCCACCCTGTCTTTCCATAGCCTGCCTCAACAGGAGATGACAGAGCCATGTGTTTCACCTGCAGTGTGTGTCTGGTCTGTTGGGAACCTACAGATGAGCCCTGGTGAGTTAACTTTATTCAAAATGCATTTATTGAGCTACGAGCTATAACATATGAATGAAGACCGACATTTCTCTGCTATCCCTAGGTCTGAACACGAGCGACATTCTCCCAATTGTCCCTTTGTGAAGGGCGAGCACACACAGAATGTGCCACTGTCAGTGACACTGGCCACCAGCCCTGCCCAATTTCCCAACAGCCCCGACAGTTCGGACAAGATCGCCTGCTATGGCTTCGGCAGCTGTCCACAGTTTCTGGCTGCTGCCACCAAGAGGGGAAAGATCTGCATCTGGGACGTCTCTAAAATGATGAGGGTCAGAACATCTAAATGTTAAAGCATCAAACTGTCTCATGTGTTGTGTTTCACTTTCGATGATATCGGTGGCAGCCTGGAAATGTTGGTATGGGCCCAGAATCAAGAGTGTGTCTTTGTGGGCTGAACAGGTGCACTTGAAGTTTGACATCAATCCATACGACCCAGCCATCCTGAGGCAGCTGATTCTGTGTGGGGGGGTGGAGCAACAAAGCGAGTCTCGCAGACCAACCCTGGCCTGGCTGGAGGAGTCCTCCACCTACTCAGACCTGCCCAAGCTAGAGGGAGACAGGTAACACACATAGATTTCCAGCTAGATCATTTAGGATAATAGCAAAACCTAGTACAGAGTTTAAGTACTATCCTCAAAACAAACAACAACAACAACAGAAGTGTGGATGGCTGAAAAGACAGTAGCCATTTACTCTGACTCAAGCACTCAGTTCTTGTTTCTTTGATGGAATCTTGTGTTTGTGTTTTATCATGTTAGTCATGTCTTTTTAATCACTTCTTAATTTGCAGTGATGACCAGTTGGAGGATTCAGACAGCGATGAGCATTCCCGATCAGAGTCATTAACCGGTATGAAGACATGAATTACCACTTTTTGTGATTTCTAAGTGCTGGTGGTGTTTCAGAGATTAGGATGCACAATATCAAAAGCAATGTAGATACTGGATGTCAACTTTATTTCCATATTTTTGTTTAAAAAACAAATGTATCCAACCTATTATCAGGAACATGACAGACCTCTCCTCTTGTTTTTATTCCAGGCCAGCAGTCCCAGTGGGAGAGCATGGATGTGAGCCTGGGGGTGACGTCGCTGAGTTTGCTGCAGCAGCCGGAGAAGCTCCAGTGGGAGGTGGTGGCCAGTGTGCTGGAGGACACGGTTAAGGACCTGGAGGAATTGGGTGCCAACCCCTCACTAAACCAAGCCAAGGCCCACAGCCAGGCCAAAGCAAAGGACAAGGTGGCTGACTACCACAACATTCCCTTCCCCTGCCTGCTGGCCGGAGGCCTGCTCAGCTACCGCCCAGCATCCTGCACCCCCATGGCTGGACCCCCGCCCACAGCCCCAGCTTCAACTCGCAGGACCACAGATGGTCCACTAAGGACTCACGGCCCTGAGCCCTTTCACCCTGGGCCTCTCCAGGACCCTATGGAGATAGAGACCTGTAACCCCCAGATTGCGGCCCAGGAGCAGGGCTTCTCTAACCTCGTAGGTTCCCAACCTCCCAGCCCCTCCTCTCTGCCGGCTGTTCGCAGGACTATACCTGTGCTGCTGCTGTACAGCATCAGAGAGGTGGACGACAAGTCCTCAGGGCAGGTGTTTGCTCAAATGAACAATCTAATGAGCAAGGGGCTCCACGAGGAGGGCTTCACTGTGCCACAGATTATAGAGATGGAGTTTGACACACACGAGCAGCTTCTTCTTCAGGATCCTCCCATCACTTACATTCAGCAGTTTGCTGATGCAGCAACTAATCTTGCAGGGTTGGATGGTCACATGGACAAATGGAGCACGCTGGCTGCAGCTACGGCCTCCGCCCCCCCTCGGCCAGGAGCACTTGTGCAGTGCTTGAGGCTTCCCAAACAGCTGGAAGAGGAGAACCTTTATGTGGACTCGATCACGCCCTGCTGGGACGGTGTGCACCTCCTGGTGGGCCTGCAGCCATGTGGCACCGAGTCTCTGAGTGCTACAAACCAGGTGGAGGCTCTCAACAACCTGAACCGCCTGCACTCTGCACTCTGCAGCCAGCGCAAAGGAGACAGTCTACACTCAGTGGCCAATGGGGTGGAAGGCCACCACTCAGGGGGCTCACCGCCTCAGACGCCCCTCATTCTCCCCCCAGGAGACCAGCCGCAGCAGCAACAGAGGTCCCCAAGTAGTGGGAACGGCGGCTATCTTGCACTCTACAAGCTCAACTACTCCACCCGGATCGTCACCTTGGATGAGGAACCGGTGAAGGTGCAGCAGATCTGGGACCCTTGTGATGCCATCACCTCCCTCATACTGCTGCCTCCTGATGTGCTCGACAGCAGGGAGGACGACAATGAAGAGGCTCCTGAGGAGGCTCTGGCCTCAGGGTCCAAAAAGGGCTCCTCTGGGTTTGGAATGGCCCCTGCAGGCTCTGGTGGCTCTGCTGGTACTGGGACTGCATGTGGTGCAGCGACAACCAGCAGCACTGTCACCGGCCCCTCCACCTCTGGCATGAGCCACAAAGAGTGCAAGCGGGTGGAGGTGGCGGGCCTGGGCCACCTGGTGGTGACCACACGGGCTGGATATATAATGATACTGGACCTGTCTACGTTGGAGGTCCTGGCCAAGGTGGAGCCGCCTAAGAAGGAGGGGTCTGCAGAGGAGACGGACCCCTTTGTCTCAGTGACCTATTGCTCGGGGACTGACCGCCTTTGTGCCTGCACCAAAGGTTAGTGTTTCATTCCTGGGCCTGTTTCTCTGTCGACTGCAGTTCTGCTGGCTGCTGGGATGGGCTGCGATTGGGTTTAATGAATTGGGTTTTCAAAGTAGTTCTTACTTTTTTTCAGCAGCATATTATTGAAGATTTGTGGCTCTAGTGAGGTTGGTATTCTGAGAGCCTGGTGTGTTGTTGGATTGAGTCAAATTGAACTAAAGTGTGCATGCTCTGTGGTAATGATGGAACATGCCATCCAGTGCAACCGTGTGGGTCATTGAAGGACTTGTCACACTTGGAGCTATGTGGCACACAGGAAGAATATATACAAAGCATTGATACACAATACTTGTTAGTTTTTTAGGGTGTTTTTCTCACTCAAATGGAGTATAACTTTTATATTAGCTGCAACATGATACACAATTGAATTGATTTATTTAAAACAAGGGACAGTGTACATTAATCAACATATTAAAAACATGTAAAAGTACTCAAATTAGCCAAAAGGCTAGTTTCATCGATAGTCCCTTTGCCAGATGGTGATAGACATCCTAAAAGCAATAATACAAATACCACGACATTGTTATACCATTGTACATATTTACAATAGATGACATCACTGAATACAGATAAGAGCAAGTCATGATAATAAATAAAACATTTACAATACACACTCATACACACACCTACACCCACACATCAGTGCTGACACCGTTGAGGTGCCTTAAAGCCTGAGATGTGTTTTCAAATTGGTTATTTTAGTCCATGAGAGCATAGTGGTATATAGTAGGAGTGACAATTTTGCTGATGTTTTACTTCTACTATACTGTAATAGTAGCATAATGCAGACTAGGGCAGCCTATCCCGCGTGCGGCGCGTGCATGTGTAGAGCAAGCAAGAGAGAAGTTTCTCCCAAGAACATTAATGCTGGATTTCATTTACCGATCCTGCAGACGTCCGATACACAGGGCGGAAGTCCTGCAGCATGCGCCCCCCCCCTGCAGCAGCTCCTCACAAAGGAGAGGGCAGCCCCCCACCACAGTCACAGTTCTAATCCTTCAAAATGATGCCCGGACTTCAGATTTTTTTCCTGTCAGATTTCAAAACAACGATGCTAACGAGACTTCTCCCGGTCACCGCGAAAAACATAAGCATCGGAGCATTTCACCTTGTTTACCGATCTGCCGATGGTGGTAAATAGGGATAACCCTAATATACAGTATATATTTATAGTATACTCGGCTACTCATCTTCCCAGTTAACTTCTCTGTCAGAAATATCAAACATTTAAAAAAAAATTCAGAACACCTTTTCAATAATGTTTTTATGTTCTGAGTTGTGACCTCAGCAAGCGCACGTTCCTGTTCTGTGAATTTGTCCTAAAAGCTATTCTTCTACTTTCATCAGCAAGTTTAATGTCCAGCCTTGCTTTATATATGTTTGCTCAACACTTTTGTTAACTCAAGAGGTTTAGCACCTGCAGGTGATTCGTTTATATGCTGTCAAGATCAATCAACTGAAGTAAGAGTTAAAAGTGCAGTGAAGTCATTTGTAGGTTTTCATTTTGTTTCGTATCTCGTTTGAAGGTGGAGAACTTCATTTCCTTCAAATTGGAGGTGTGTGTGACGATCTAGATGATGGAGACATGTTTATTGATGGCCCCCTTTCTAAAGGGGCTGAACTGCTGCTTGAGGGGGCCAAGCCCTCCTCCAACCCCTCTAGCCCTGGAATAACAGGTGAACCTGACACTCACACACTCACTCACTCACTCACTCACTCACTCACTCACTCACTCACTCACTCACTCACTCACTCACTCAGTAGCTGTCCACTTCAGAATTCATGGCCTGATCGTCAATGACAAACATTTCACTGGTAAATTCTTTGCCCTTCTGTGATGCTGTAACTGCTGAACTGTCCTCTTTGAAGGAGTGGACCTCCTTGTTGACCAGCCGCTGTCCACGGAGAGCCTGATGTCACTGGTGGAGCTGACACGCTTCGAGACGTTGATCCCCCGCTTCTCAGCCACTGTGCCGCCATGTTGGTCGGAGGTGCAGCAAGAGCAGCAGCAGCGGCGCCACCCCCAGCACCTCCACCAGCAGCACCACGGAGACGCAGCCCAACACACACGCACCTGGAAGCTTCAGAGCGACAGGTAGCGTCAACTTTTTAAAAACTGTATGACTGCAGTCACTTTAATAAGTGTCCCAGTTAAATGGCTAAGTCATCTTCAGTGCTTGAGTTGAATGTCTGAGCAGTCGGTGACCTGTGTTGTCTTTGCAGCTCCAGCTGGGACGAGCATGTGTTTGAGCTGGTGCTGCCCAAGTCCTGCATGGTGGGTCACGTGGACTTCAAGTTTCTCCTGAATGCCAACATCATCAACATTCCTCAGATCCAGGTCACCTTACTGAAGAACAAAGCACCCGGGCTGGGCAAAGTCAGCGGTAAGGACACTGCCTTGAGATGGTATCTTTTGGTATTTAGTACAGTGACGATACTGAATGCATACCTGCATGTTGGTAGATTGTTCTTTGCAACTGTTTTGATCCAGGTGCTTCAAGTTTTTTGTGTTGTTTTTCATTACAATATCTGCTAAAAGGAATTGTGGCCTATTGAATATGGATCCTCTCTTTGTGTCTGATTCTTGCCTCTGATGTCTGTAACAGAGACGGCGGTGGACAGACAGATCTCCTTCCCCCTCTCCAGCGTCCTCCACGCTAACGGCGAGAGGAACGGACAGCCTCTGCTGCATGACTTCACAGAGGACATCCAGTTCATGGACATTGAGGAGACATCAGGTAAAGAATAACACCATTTTTGCTTTATTTCAGATTCAGAAATGTTGCCGTCTCTAATTTTCTAAAAAGACGGTAACAAACATGAGTATAAAGGTTGGCATTTAGTGTTTAAGCGCTTTGAGTGGTTGGTAAACTGGAAAGGCATGAAATGTCTTTTTAGGGCTGAAGGTTGTTGTTTGACATTGTGAAAGTCTTAATGTGTGTATTACCAGCCCTAAATATAGCTGTTCATGTGTTTGCTGCAGGTTCCATGCTGTGTCCATTCCTGGAGGACCACAAGGAGGACATCCTGTGTGGTCCAGTGTGGCTGGCCAGTGGGCTGGACCTCTCTGGCCATGCAGGCATGCTCAGTCTCACCAGCCCCAAGCTGGTCAAAGGTAACTACACTCACAAGTACACGTTCTGTGAGGGCATCATGACCTGATCACAGCCTGACCCTCAGGGGTTTTCTGCTCAGGAAGATGCTATTCTGTTGTGAGTGCGTCCGTGTTTTCTAAGCTGTATTGTTCTCCCTCCCCTGAAGGCATGGCGGGAGGCAAGTACCGCTCCTTCCTGGTTCACATTAAAGCGGTGAGTGACCGGGGCATGGAGGAGAGCCCCCGACCCGTGGTGAGGATGCCCTGTGCCAAGCCCCAGGGCACCAAAGCGCACTCGCTGTCCACCCTGCTGCAGCGGGCTCAGGCCTCCAAGGTACACATCACTGCTTCCAGTTTTCTCAGGATAGGTTCATATTTGGAATACTCCCATGCAAATATAAATGTAAATAATGTTTTTATTAATGTAGTAGTTTCTCATATCCTTACCTTTCCGAAAAAGTTAACACCCTCACATTAATGTATTTGTGTGTGTGATTGTAGGAGAAGGTGTCTGCAGTGAAAAGCGAGAGCTCAGCGCCCTCGAAGAAAGTGGAAAACATGCGAGGCTGTGACCTGCTGCAGGAAGTCTCAGTCACAATCAGAAAGTTTAAAAAGACGTCAATGCCCAAAGAAAGGTCAGATCACTGTGAAACATTATGTTCTGTTGGCACTGTCAAAATGTTGTTGTAATAAATATCTAACATTGCAGAAGTAAATTGAACAGTAAGCGTACTAACACACATTCCATCAGATGACAGTGACTTCTTGGTATACCTGTTTCTGCTGTTCCTGTCGCAGAAGTAAACATATGTTTGTCCTTCTCTGCTCCTCAGGGTCCAACGCTGTGCTATGCTGCAGTTCCCAGACTTCCACGAGAAGCTGCTGGACGCGCTGTGTCGACGCACAGAAGTCAGCCCAGCCAATGAGCACGCTCAGAGCCTCATCCTCGACATCCTGTGCTGGCTGGCTGGGGTGTTCTCTAACGGACCTTGCAGGTAGGACTAAAATAACACTGCATTCATCTATGACATCTCGTTCACACGTTACCTCCACTTTGACATTTTGCAGACAATAATAATATATTCTTTGGCTTCAGTTTAAGAGAAGGAAAAGAGGGCCTGCTGGCAAAATCCCGGACGCGGCTAACGGATATTGTACGGATGTGTTTCTTCGAAGCTGGCCGGAGCATAGCGCACAAATGTGCCCGCTTTCTTGCACTTTGTATAAGGTAAGAAGCATGGATGATTTCAGTGGCTATCTGAACTGCCCAGTGAAACTGAGCGGAGGGGGCAGATACATTCAATATAACACTTACTCACTCACTCAAAACACATTGTCTACAGATAAATTGCATAACAGGAAAGCCTACACGTATCCCTGGGCAATATTTGTTTTGTTTGCTGTGTTGTGAAATAAATGTTGAATTCACCCCGAGAGCACCTGGACCTGGATTTATGAAGTGAGCAGTGACGTAATATAGGTTCAGGAACTTTTCATCAAATGATCTGGCACTGGAAAGAAAAGCACAACACATTATTATGGCTATCCCTTCTGCTTCAACGTTTATTTGGTTCCTATAGTGGAAAATGCCGATACGATGGAGTATTTGTACTTTATTTATGTTTTTGGGTTTCTACGGACATAATAATAAACATGCTGTTTTATTTTCCCTGCTGTAGCAATGGGAAAGGTGACCAAAGTCAGCAGGGTTTTGGAGTCAGTCTTCTGAAGGCAATGCTAGACAATATGCCTTATCTGCCTGCATCAGCTACTGGTGGTAAGTAAGTGAACAACAACTCCGATCATCATCCCCAGCATTCAGTGCCTGACCCCTCTGTCCTGTCTCAGGATCCGTGTTCTGGTACTTCGTGCTGCTGAACTACGTGAAGGAGGAGGACCTGGCAGGCTGCAGCACCGCCTGCGCCTCTCTGCTCACCACCATCTCTCGACAGCTGCAGGACCGCCTCACCCCCCTGGAGGCTCTGCTGCAGACCAGGTACTGCAACTACTCCAAGAGTTTCTTACAGCCTCTGCAGGCTTGTGAGGCACAAATACCATTCTATTACTTAACTTATTTATTTAATAATAAGAAGATACAAGTATTTCCAACTACTGCTGAAGTGAAGCCCACTGTCTCATCCGCTTTGTTCTTAATTCCTCGATGTATCTACCCATCGCAAGCGTCACTCTCCCCCTCCTGTCCTCCTCCTGCAGGTACGGCCTGTACAGCTCTCCCTTCGACCCGGTGCTGTTTGACCTGGAGGTCAGCGGCTCCTCCTGTAGGAACGCCTTCAACAGCAGCATCGGAGTCCAGTCAGATGAGATCGACCTCTCTGACATCCTGTCAGGTATCAGCTTTTCACACGGTATTCTGACTAACGATGAAGTTGCATCAGATGGTAAACAATGTATATGAAATAAGATTACTTTTAAATAGATTGAACTTCTCCAATACATTTTGTTTAATAGAAGGGGATCATGTGTAAAGATGGCTCCAGTCTTTGTTATTCTGATAAGGATGTATACACCCTTTAATTGAAGCTTTAAGTCATTTCAATGGTATACTGACTCTTTCTGTATCTCACAACATTTGTCCTTTAAATTCTTAGGGTCTTGATTCCAAAATTGAGGAAAACTGGATAGAGTTGAATTGTAGTTTTCTCCTGAAGCTCGGTGTGTTCCTGAATGTTTGGTTTGGTGTTGTGCAGGGAATGGAAAGGTGAGCAGCTGTTCAGCAGCAGAAGGCAGCTTCACAGCACTAACAGGACTCCTGGAGGTGGAGCCTTTGCACTTTAGTTGTATCTCTACTAGTGACGGCACACGGGTGGAGCGAGACGACGCCAGCCTGTTCACCGGTAAACATAACTTTCAATAGATGTCTTTGGCCCCTGATCACAGAGCTCACACAGTTGAAAAGGTTTCTTCAATGCCTAATAAGAACTGTTATTTTTAAGGGCTAGGAATATGCTGGAATTAGAATAAACTCTTAGAACAGCTCCCTTTAACACACTCTTGTGTATACTCAATTACTTGTGGTTTTAAATGTTGTATTATTTTTTAAATAATTGTCCACTTGAGAAGCTGTTGGAACACTTAAGTGGCCATCTCCTGATCTCTTACTCTTTACCCCCAGTGAGTACGTTTGGCGTGACGCCTGCGGTGGGAGGCCTGTCGTCAGGAACGGTTGGAGAAGCTTCTACAGCGCTGAGCTCTGCAGCACAGGTGGCGCTACAGTCACTGTCCCACGCCATGGTGTCAGCGGAGCAGCAGCTGCAGGTGCTGCAGGAGAAACAGCAGCAGCTGCTCAAGCTGCAGCAGCAGGTACACACGCACGCGCATGTACGCACAAACGCACATCATTTCACTTAGCAGCATAGCATAGGTGGCACAGTAAAACTGGAACCAATATTTAGACATAGCAGTACTATGTTACTTTTAACAGTATATTTTCTAACTGCAGGCACCTAATGACAACACATTTAATGTCATTTTCAGGCATTTAGATTTTCTTGAATTGTTTTAATTTCTTTTTTAGTAATTCTGCTGTTACGATACCAGCTACTAGTTAGTTATGGCGCATTTCCACTGCAGGGCCTCGCACGGCGTAGTACGGTATGGTTAGGCCTTGGTAGGCCCGGCTCACTTTATGCTGCGTTTCCATTACAGTTTAGGAACTGGGGTAGTTACTATAGTAACGCAGTGTAGGCAGAGCCGTGACGTCATCTTCAATGCGAACACAAAACCAACATCAGCCGTTAGCTCTTAGCCCTCAGAGCTCACAGCTCTTCATATCTGTTCAGAAACTTGACAAAAGTTAAACAAGTACAAACCACAGACTGCCTGTGTCATGGCGAATACAGTCGCTGGTTTATTTATGTCTGTAGGCCGTTGTTGTGAGTGTGGACGGTCGGAGCATATATAACGTTAGCTTAGCCGATCTCCATTTAGAAAACACGCATTTTAAAAGGGTTGTTCGCCTGCCGTCTGTCTGCAGACTTGTCAAAGCATTAATTCATGGTTTTTACTAACCGGTATCAGTATGTTGTTACTTCGGCATCATTTTGAAACTTGTATTACAATTAAATCACGGTCAAATATGTTCATCTTGTTGTAGTTGTCGCTCCCATGCCAGCGATTATCTCTCTAGTTTAGCATACTCAGCCTGGTTGTTGGCCCGGAAAGAACCTGGATAGAGCCAGAAAACTGTGAAACAGTACCCGTTAGCCGGAACTACCCCTAGTGGAAACGCAACAAAAAACGGGCCGAGTTTGGCACGCCACGCTTAAACCGTGGTATGCGCTGCAGTGGAAATGTGCCATCAGTAACCCTTCTGTGTCTGTGCTGCGAACAGAAGGCCAAGCTGGAGGCCAAGCTGCATCAGACCACTTCTGCAGCCGCCTCTGCCTCCGGCGTGGGGACCATCCACAACTCTGTGCCTTCCAACCCCTCCTCTGCCCCGGGCTTCTTCATCCACCCCTCTGATGTCATCCCGCCCACACCAAAAACAACTCCCCTCTTCATGACCCCTCCTCTCACGCCGCCCAACGAGGCGGTGTCAGCGGCCTTCAGCGCTGAACTGGCTCATCTGTTCCCCGGTTCCATGATGGACCCCGGGCCCATCAACCTGGCCGCGCACAAGAACACACAGAAAGCCAAGCCGGTTAGTTCATGCAGCTTCATGCTGCTTAGTTAGCGATAGCTGCCTGTCATACAGGGCTGCCTCATAAGCCTCAGTTATTTTTTAGCTGCAACTAAAAACTACCCAGTACACAAATGCCTTCTCAGTTTCATTCTCCTTTTCACTAGACACACAAGGAAGCCAAATCAATTATTAAATAACCCTTTAAACAACAATGTCTGAGGGAGACTTACAGTACACTGTATAATAATTAATAATTCCCTTTATTCATCCAGGCGTCCAAATATACTCTCATAGGTTTTAGGAGACTAAACATATCAAAAGATTCATAGTTCAACATGTGTAAATGCCTGAATTAAAACAGACACTTTTGTCAAACCCATAATCTAGCAGAGAGATTTATCTTCTTTTTCTTTTGTTAAATACGGTTTTGTTTTTGCAGCAGAGCCCCATGGGAAGTGGTCTGGCTCTGGCCATCTCCCAGGCATCTCACTTCCTGCAGCCTCCTCCACACCAGTCCATCATCATAGAGAGGATGCACTCTGGTATGTCGTGGATAAGTGGTGTGTTGGAATCAAACGTATACAACTTTTAAAACCTCAGTACAATTATTCCAAAGTTAACTTCCGGTGTCCTTTCTCCTAGGAGCTCGTCGCTTTGTGACGCTGGACTTTGGTCGTCCGGTGCTGCTGACTGACGCTCTGATCCCGACCTGCGCCGACCTGGCCTCTCTGTCCATCGACATCTGGACTCTGGGAGAGGAGGTGGACGGGCGCAGGCTGGTGGTGGCCACCGACATCAGCACCCACTCCCTCATTCTGCACGACCTGCTGCCCCCACCTGTCTGCAGGTTCATGAAGGTGTGTATTTTGCTTTGCATTGACACATGATGGCTGACTTTAATGTTAGTTTTTCTTGCTTTTTTTTGTTTACCATAAGTATGCCTTCTCCTTCTTTGCTTTCTAAACTCCAGATCACTGTGATCGGGCGCTACGGCAGCACCAATGCTCGGGCAAAGATCCCGCTGGGCTTTTACTATGGACACACGTACATCCTGCCCTGGGAGAGTGAGCTGAAGTTGATGCACGATCCTCTGCGGGGAGAGAGCGAGGCCGCCTGTCAGCCAGATGTTGATCAGCATCTGGCCATGATGGTGGCGCTGCAGGAGGACATCCAGTGCAGGTAAGCATTGGAGTAAAGTATTTTACTTTTCTATTATCAAATCACACCTAAGGAGCAAACCAACAATGTTATAATCCTCATTACTTTCTGACTCCTACTACTGTCCATGAGCTTTGACTCCAAGCCCATTGGTTAATACTGAAGCTAAAAAAACAGCTCACTCATATAACCTAGAATAAGATTTTTTTTTTTAAAACAGCTGGACTGCAATTTTGAGCAAATATCAGTCACACAGGAAGATGTTTGCAGAGGTTGGGGACCATTTTTTGAGGTGAATTAATTCACATTCAATTAACTCCTGTTTCCAGATACAACCTAGCTTGCCATCGGCTGGAGACGCTTCTGCAGAACATCGACCTGCCGCCTCTCAACAGTGCTAACAATGCTCAGTACTTCTTACGGAAGCCAGACAAGGTGGTGGAGGAGGACCAGCGTGTGTTCTCCGCCTACCAGGACTGCATCCAGCTGCAGCTGCAGCTCAACCTGGCTCACCACGCAGTGCAGCGGCTGCGCGTCTCCCTGGGGGCCAGCCGCAGGTCGCTCCCCACAGCCGGGGCCCCGGAGGTCCAGGAGCTGGTCCACAACTCCTCCACAGAGCAGCTGAGGACCATCATCCGCTACCTGCTGGACACACTGCTCAGCCTGCTGCACTCCAACAACGGTGAACAAGCGTGATCAAAACAAATCTTATTTGTTTCTTTATATTTACTTGTATATACAGTAGGGCTGTACCCGAATATTCGTTCGTTGGAGTACTATTCGGGTTTCAATTTCGTTATTCGTTTTGTTTGTTTTTTCCCCGTTTTATTTTTCAAATTGAATTTATTGAAATCTCCAATATCAACGTCAGAGCTTGTGCCTCTTCGGGGGTGCTAACACTTAACCATAAACGTTATCGTTTACTTTCTCCGTCTTTATATGTAGATATTACTTTTCTCCGTTAATCTCCGTTGCGTTGTTTCCATAGCAACAACAACTTCCTGTCAACAGCGCTACCTCTCCTTCAAAATAAAAGCATGTCCATAAATAGGACTATTCAACTGCAACGAAAGTAACAAACACAATGCGATATCCTTTTCAATTTCAAAGAACACAAATTGGGTTACATTAACAAATAACTATAAAACAACAATACTGTAGAATAACAAAATGAATGCCGTCTGCTTCAGCGAACCGCGCGGGCCGAATATCCGGAGCCCGAAAAATGGTATTCGGGACAGCCCTAATATACAGTAGACCAATGACACACACATCCCAGACAGGGGCACAAATGCTTGAATGTTTTCCTCTCAGACTTTTACCAGTAGAATATGGACATTTATGTATGGATACATGTGTGGACAGCATCATACTTATATTCACACCTGATTGATTCGTGCCTCTGTATATTCCAGGCCACTCTGTGCCCTCAGTGCTGCAGAGTACCTTCCATGCCCAGGCCTGTGAGGAGCTCTTCAAACACCTCTGCATCAGTGGGACGCCTAAGATCCGTCTCCACGCCGGCCTGCTGCTGGTTCAGCTGTGTGGAGGAGAGCGCTGGTGGGGCCAGTTCCTCTCCAACGTCCTGCAGGAGCTCTACAACTCTGAGCAGCTGCTCATCTTCCCTCAGGACAGGTGGGGACATCAGATTGCTTCCATCAACCACAAATCCTGAACTGATTCTTCCCCCAGTGCTTTTTAACTTTATCACATTGAGGATTATCATTCTCAGTGTAAAAGTCAAAAAAGCTTGTCGGACAATTGTTTTTTTTAATGTATTTGTTACTCAAATGAGAAAAAAGCTTAAACCTTAAAGCGCACTAACTAACTTCAGGACCAACCTGATCATCTCTCTCTTTCTATCTCTCTCTAAATGTATATTGAAACAATTAATAGAGTTTTTCATGCTGTACCTGCAGCTCTATAGCTCGAGCTGCTGGCATCTCTTTGAATCCCATCAACAATCAGAATAAAAACACTTTCAGTTTATTTAAATCTCAATGAAAGGCTTTGTTAGTGAGGAAACAGCTCTGTCAACATTGAAACAATGTCTTGCACTGTACATCTGTGCCTCTGCCTTATCTTCTTGCTACGTATTATGTACGTTTCTTTTTTGTATTACTTTCGTATTAGCATTTCCAGTATTGTATGCCTCTATGTTTTTACTGATTGTATTTACTTGTTATTTTAAATTTAAAAAAATGTTTAGGGTGACATGCAACATCTGTCCAAGGATTACAGATGGAAAATAGCCTCTTGGCTAACTCTAGCATTTACAGAAATACATTCATTAACTAAAAATAAATCAACCAATAGAACTTGTTCTCCTAAAAACATGTCTCAAATGACCCTGTTTCAAGTTCACCAATGCAGTATTTTCCTTGTCTTGTTTGACCCCAGGGTGTTCATGCTGCTGTCCTGCATTGGCCAGAGATCCCTGAGTAACAGTGGAGTGTTGGAGGGGCTCCTGAACCTGCTGGACAGCCTGCTGTCTCCCCTGCAGCAGCCACAGGCCTCCGCCCAGCGCAGGACCGAGGGTACAGCCAGCCTCACTGTGGCACCGTTACACATTTCTGTTTGATGGAGCAAAAATGGCACATTTCAGCAGATTCTATATTAGAAAGTGTGACAAAGAGTGTGTGTTTCAGGTGTTTTGGATATCCCCATGATCAGCTGGGTAGTGATGTTGGTCTCCAGACTGCTGGACTATGTAGCCAGTATAGAAGATGAGGCTGCAGGGGGTAAGAAGCACCTTGGAGGGAAAGAACGGGAGAGATCTTTTACAGGTATAGAAACTACACAATATTCCCTCACTTTTTTCTCTAACCTATGATTATATATTTTATTTCACTAAAGGACTTCACTATTTAAAGTCAAGAATCTAAATAAAAAATGTAATAGGCATTTTTGACAAATATCTATGAAATATGGACACCTCACAAATGAACCACACACATTATGATCTGTTAAAGTGGAACATTCAACATGGATCTCTGAATGATCTTTTTACTAACAGGAAAGAAAGCTTGTTAGACTTTCATAGAATACACTTCATCTCTTTTCTGCCCTCTTAAAAACGTTTGATTGAAATCTGTCCCAACCCCCGTGACCTGATGAGTGCTGTTGCTCTGTCCTCCAGGTATTCAGTGGAGCTTCATCAACAACAGCCTTCAGTCTCAGAACTCCGGCAGGGCAGCTAAAGGCAACAGCAGCCTGGACCGACTTTACTCGCGCAAGATCCGCAAACAGCTCGTCCACCACAAGCAGGTAAATGTGTCTCATCTTCACCATCAAATATGTGCTTTAAAAAGTCAGTGTGATAAATGAATATGTGCTTACGAGTCCTACAAACTCAAGGACAATGTTTTTCTCATCTCTTGTTTGACTCAAATAGGTTTACAATGCTCCTATTTATCATACCCTTTTTATTGCAGCAGTTAAATCTATTGAAAGCAAAACAGAAGGCTTTGGTGGAGCAGATTGAGAAGGAGAAGATCCAGAGCAACAAAGGCTCCTCCTACAAACTGCTGGTGGAACAGGCCAAGCTCAAACAGGCCACATCCAAGGTGAGCAGCTCAGCTTCTGCATGTCCAGTAAGCAGCACCAGCACTGTGTGGGGTCAGAGGGTACCTCTAAAGAGGATCCACGGTGTGTAATAAGTTGTCTGCATGTTTTAATAGTATGAAGACATTCGTATAAATTATAATATTAAAGATTGTTGTTTTGTGAGATGAAGATAATGCACAGACCTGTCAGCGGTATTAACTACAGAGCTACAGATGAAGTCTTCCACTTATTATGCTAAGATAAATACATTTAGAGAGGGAGCATCACTATGTAGCTCTAACACAGTATATACATGTCTAATAATTGGATGTTTGCCTTGCTTCCTTTTAAATATATTTTTATCTTAACATCGGCAGTATTACAGAACATGACATATTTGACAGGTGAAATAGATGACAACATCAACAATGTACAGACGTAGTGCACAATGAAAGTATTAATAGCGTAATCAAAATAATAAAACATCTATTGTTCCCACGCGAGACCACAGAGCCCTGATGTTATTTTCTGTGAGCAATCAGCTCCTTAATAGGCTGTAAAGGGAATCCATACTTAAAGAAACTAGAGAGCTTCAAGGGGCATACATTCTAACCTGTATGCCTTGTCACTTGTTGACTTATCCACATGTCACTGTGGGGGGGTTCCTCCATCACCCACTTTAATAAAATGAAGCTCATGGCACAGAAGAGGAAGGTTTTAATTGAGTTGGAGTAATACTTGGGGGATTATCTATGCCTAAAATGCACAATACAGTTGTTTACTGTCCTACCAATTCTGTCATTGATTTCTTTTAGACCCTCTTTCTAGAGTGTTATGATATACACACATTGTGATAAACAGTGAAGATATGAGCCTTATGAGTTATTTTGCATTATTACAAAACTATGTTGAATCTGGGTTCATTTTATTGCGTCTCTCTTCCAGCACTTTAAAGACCTGATCCGTCTGCGGCGAACGGCCGAGTGGCCCCGCTCCACGTTGGACACGGAGTCCAGCACAGCCAAAGAAGCCCCAGAAGTAGAGCCCCTGCCCTTCACCCTGTCCCATGAGCGCTGCATCTCTGTGGTGCAGAAGCTGGCCCTCTTCCTCCTCTCCATGGACTTCACCTGCCACGCCGACTTGCTGCTGTTTGTCTGCAAGGTATCTACCGGATCCTCATGCATGGACTTGTTAAATTCCATAATCTGTATATACACATAAATAAGTACTTTTCTTACCCCCTCAGGTCCTTGCTAGAATAGCCAATGCCACAAGACCCACGATCCACCTGTGTGAGGTGGTGTCTGAGCAGCAGCTGGAGCGCCTGCTGCTCCTGCTTGTGGGAACAGACTTCAACCGGGGGGACATCTCCTGGGGGGGCGCCTGGGCGCAGTATTCCCTCACATGCATGCTACAGGACATCCTAGCAGGTGTGTTTGGGTTGCTTTAAGTCTGGTGTGACTTGATTAATGAAAGAGTGTAAGATAAAACATTTCTCCTTCATCCTGTCTCCTGTACAATGGGATATTTAGGGAGTAAGGCCACTTTACCTGATCCTTTACATTTTGTTTGTTGAATTGGTGTTTTAATGTGAATATTTCTAATTTGGTTTAGTCATTTTACACATGTTTTGATTTTTATTAGTTCTAAGGATATGTTCTGTCGCTCTGTAATTTAAAAAAAGGAAATATCTTAACAATGATGCGATGCATTTCCATCAAAGTATTAAACATAGTGGAGTCCCCTTGAGCATACTTTTGGCTATCCTTAGACTATTATTAGAGCACCACGATTAAGTGAAATAGTTCAGCAAATACTAAATAAACTTGCACCACATTTTTAACCTACACACAAAATACCTCGGTAACAACTTTTAGATTTTTTTCCCTAGACTGCTGTGAATACATTTGAATAACTTTGGATCCCTAAGCTTTTCATCTAGAGGCATCAACGAGTCATCATTTTTCATCCTTTGGTTTTTGACCAAATACCTGCAAAACTAAATCCATTCCTGTAAGCTTTACTTTCCTTGTTTAGAGCCGATTAGTTAGCATGCTAACACACTGAACTCGGGTGGGAAACACGGTAAACATTCTGTGACAACATTGACATTTTTAGAATGTTAGCATTTAGCTTAAAGCACGGTACAACCCAGCATGGTGCTTTGATTCTCACCCAAAAACAGTATCCCTAATCTTGTGCGTTTTCCTCCGAGCTGTGTGTCATTAAGTGTACACGTTGTTGTCCCAGGTGAGTTGCTGTCTCCGGGCTCTCTGGATGGCATGGATGATGGTGCATGCGGTGAAGAGGCCGGGGCCTCTTCCTCCTCAGCGGGGGCGGATTCGGACGACTGCCTCCCCCAGCCGGCCCCCATCCCCCTGGTAGAGAGCATTGATGAGGCCCTGGTGCCTGATATCATTGCAGGTACTACGGGGGCATCCTCAATATTCCAAAGTGAGTGGGTAGCCCCGTCCACACTAAACACACACACACACACATAAATGTTGATACCAACACTTTGTATCATCACAATATAAAGTATTTGTTTGTTAAATATTTTTTATATTTGCATTTCACCGTTTGTTTTACAGTATCGTTCAATGTGTTTTAATGATTGTAGTTCTGTCTTTTGGAATGGGAGTCGAACATGTAGGCCAATTTGTCATTGCAGTTATTATGACTTCAGTGTTATTTCAGAGGAGTAGAGGAGATGATGGCTCGATCGGCATTAACATTGCCCAGTAACGTGCTCAAGAAAGTTTCTCTTGCCTGTTTGTTTTCCTAGTGTGCTTGCTTGGCAATATTAAGGCTGTTTTTATTATCCAAAGGTGCTCCACCGCTGTCCTCTTTGGAAAAAGATAAAGACATAGACTTTGACTTGCTACAAGACCTGATGGATGTTGATATTGATCCTTTAGATATTGATTTGGAAAAAGATCCACTCGCGGCCAAGGTGTTTAAGGTATGTGTGACTTCATTTTCTTCTCTTTTTTCTCTCGCTGTCTACTTGTCTATAACTTGGTATTGGCTTGTGTATTGATGTTATTACGTTTACATGTTAAGTTAGTAAAGGCTGGAATAAACAGCATTTACAGTTCCACCTAGCTAATGTAGTGTTGGAGAAACTCATGTGCAGATGTTAAGACTAAGTCCTTGGTTAATATGAAAGAGTGAACATAGAATATTGTAATATTGTCTCATGAGTACAGGAAACAGTTTTGCAACACGTTAAGAATGAAGTTGTTAATGATCAGAATGTATCAGGGGAAAAAGATAAATGCATAATTAGACCAGAAAGGCCCCTAGATTTAGATTTAGAGTTAATTGTGAATAGTTCAACTTAAGTTAGGTTAACTTTTTAGAAGATTTAGCTTGATATTATGTGATTTTCACAAGTAAATGTGTATTATTAGAACAGTTTCGTTATCATGAAATGTTCATTGAAATACATTAGTGTTCAAAGGTGCAACAAATCGGAATGAAAGGTGTTCAGTCCATTTTTTGTGTCAGGACATTTGTTATCAGCCTAAATGGTTTTATACATTTGTCAAGGCAAGGCAAGTTTATTCATATAGCACATTTCAACACAAGGCAATCCAAAGTGCTTTACAACAAATGAAAGACATTAAGAAAAAGGCATCATTAAAAAGAAAAGCTAATAAAATAAACATTAAAAGAAAAAATACATGGATAAAAGTTACAGTGCAGTCTAAGATATGAATAGTTCAATTAAAAGCTGCGACAAAAAGAAAAGTCTTTAGTCTGGATTTAAAAGTAGTCAGAGTTGCAGCGGACCTGCAGGTTAACTAAAAGATTGAAACATTTGACAGTGGTGAGTTCTACGTTTGACTATTTATCAGACAAAAATCATAGATTAAACATTTGAGTATGATTGATGATGGCCCCTAATGTTACTGTCCAAATTCAACAAGTTGAATGACCAGTTTGTTAAACTGAAGGATCAGTGAATATAAACGTTGTGAGGGTGTTCTTGAAAAGATAAAGGGAAGTGATTTATTTGTTTTCAAGCTGCACATTTAGAATGAATTGAACCAAGTGTAGCATAACATATTTTACTTTCAGTAACTAAATGTGCATTTTGTGATTTGAATGTTAATGTAGAAGTTGACTTTTTTTATTTTGCCCTCGTCCTCACATCTGTCCTCAGCCTATAAGCAGCACCTGGTATGACTACTGGGGCGCTGACTATGGCACGTACGGGTACAACCCGTACATCGGGGGGGTCGGTATCCCAGTGTCCAAGCCTCCAGTCGCTGTTGAGAAGCCGGGGTCACAGAGTCTGTCAGTGTCCGTGTCGCAGGGTGAGTAGAGGCTCATTTCAGCACTAGTCTAGTCTTGTCCTCTCTAAATCCACTTTGTGATGTGTTTGACCTTTGGCCCCTGTGTCACAGCACTGGATGCCCGGCTAGAGGTGGGCCTAGAGCAGCAGGCTGAACTGATGCTCAAAATGATGGCAACTCTACAGGCCGACTCTATTCTACAGGCCCTCTCCTCCAGCTCCTCCACAGGTAACCTCACAACATCACAAGCAGAAGCCCATTTTTATTTAAATAACAAATGCTGTTCTATAGTTGACCATAAGTGCTCAACAACCCACAAAAGTGTTTTTTAGCAGTCTGTGTATCGCTGCTGAAAGATTAACTTGTGCGTGTGTTTTTTCAGTGAGCCAGGCCTCCAATGGGACTGATGACTCCCTGCTGAGGGCCCTGCATGGGGGGGGGTCTCCTCCAGCTAGCTGCCTGATGATCCAGCTCTCGTCCATCCCCATGTTGAGCGGCTGCTTCAACAAGCTCTTCTCCATGCTGCAGGTCCACCATGTACAGGTCAGCACTAGAGATGGGTACCGAGCCCCGGTATTAAACGGGTCCCGGTGCTGAATTATTAAAGACCGTGGTACCGTTAAGCTCCGACGTTATCGGTGTTTTTATCGGTACAGGAGACATTTAAAAAATATGTATTATTGCTACACAAACATTATATTGCAGTTTTAATGTCGCCAACTCCGTTTCTAATACGCACAAAGACTGCAAAATGCGTCAATGATGTATTTTCGATCTTTCCAATCCAGACGAGAGATCTCTCTCCCCCCGTCTGTGTGTGAGGGGGCGGGGCAGTTTACACACACACACACACACACACACACACACACACACACACACACACACACAGGCCTGTCACGATAATTAATTTTGTTGGATACATTTTCCCGGAAATTATTGGGATAAACGATAATATTGTCGGCACCGTTGTAAGACCATTTTAGACCACTGACATAATGATAATATATAATAATAATTCAAGTACATCCTTTCAAACAGAACTTTTTATTGAACATTCAACATTGCAAATGAGAGTTTAGCATGTAAGGGCGGTAACACGAGCAATTTGTCTAAACATTTAGCAAAAGTGCTCCACATCCAGACGGAGGAATGCACTTGTTTTTTGTTTGTTTTTTTACAGTTTTATAAGTTCACATTATTTACAATTTGTTTAATTAATTTACCTTTATTTATTTTTCAAAAGAACCGATAAGAGTACCGTTAAAGGACCGGATCGAAAAGCGGCATCGATAAAAGTAGTAGTACCGTTAAAACTTTAACCATACCCATCCCTAGTCAGCACACACAACAACAGATGGGGAACAGATTCCTGACTGATATCAGTCTTCAGTGTGGAAACCTTTAGTCGACATGGTTAGGTATTTCTTATTTAGTTTTTAATCAGTTCCATGGGGACTCGGCAACTCCAGAACTTTAACTCCAGAGCTATGCCGTGTAGTTTTGGCTTTGTGTCCTGTTGCTGTCTTACAACAAAGGCTTTGTTTCCCAAGTAACGTCTGTCGTGCAGACGGCGGCAGGTCCAGGTAAAAACAGAACTAGCTTTAGTATCTGATAATCTGGGTTTGAAGCAGAAGTTAACGAGGCGCCAGTTTACATCTAACGTATAGACCGGTGCAATGACACTGTTTTTTCATGTAAAGTATTCAGCTTTTTAGCTCAATGTCGTGATGAGGTTTTACTGCAAATCGGTAAAGCCTCAGCACGCTGTGCTGTCCTCCGCTCCCCAACAACCATCCTCAGTTTTGGAAGAATATGAAAATTCACAAGCTTCTCTCAGCTTAGTGAGGATTTGATGAAGATAACATTTATTGCACAGTCGGTCTAAAAACACTGGATATGTTTCCTGGATGAAATTAAGGTATGTGATTAGTTTCATTTTTGTACTAAATGATGTATATCATCATGCAAAAAACCCATCACCAGTGTGGATCATTAAAGTGATGCATACATGTTAGTTTCCCCAAATTCTGGGTCATTTTTTAAATAAGTAATTTCTTTCTTCTCTCTCAGTTGGAGTCCCTGCTGCAGCTGTGGTTAACACTCAGTCTCAACACATGTTCCACTGGCACTGAAGAGAGCGGATCAGACATCTTCATGTTCAACGCCAGCCGAGTGCCCACCATCCCACTCAACCAGGGTCAGGACTCCTTCTAAACCCCTGAGAGGGAATTAAGTCCCTTTTTACATTCGCTATTTTTGTTTTATTCTTATTTTATAAATGTTTTTTGTGCGTTTCCAGCATCCATTAGCAGTTTCCTGACAGTGCTGGCGTGGTACCCCAACACCTCCCTGAGAACGTGGTGTCTGGTGCTGCACTCTCTCACCCTGATGACTAACATGCCAGCCTGCGGTCAGTACTCCACTCTCACTGAATCCTCTCAGAGCTCAGATAGTCACACTTTCATTCTTTCTCTCAAAGAGTGATGCATATTGAATTATGCTACACCAAAAGCAAAGGTCTCCTAAAGCAAGACACATTTATCTAAGTAAATATTATTATTATGCCCCAAGTTTGAGTCATTCTTTTTCAAACAGCTGGCTGTTCTTGTTGGTTGTTTCCTTTTTTAAATGTTCCTACAACAGTTTTCAACGAAGAGCATCCTTGAATCAGGGTCATTGGATGATGCCCTCAACAAACTCAAAAAGTAGTTTATTCCTTAATAAAATCATTCAAAATCACCAGCTGTTTGAGCGATAAGAGCTTAATTTACCTGTGAAACATGCCCAGCAGTACACAACTTCTTTCACTTCCAATTTGAATTATTATTAACAGTATTGTTAGTGGTCTGGTGTTAAATAAGTTCTGTTTGGACTTCCAGGCTCCAGCAGTGGGATGAGCTCTCAGGAAAGCACCGCCCAGCAGATGGTGTCTGACCCCACCCTGGTTCATGTCCTTGTGCGCTTCCTGTCTGGCAGCAGCACCAACGGGACGAGCCAGCACAGCTCTCAGGTGGGACCCACCGCCACCCAGGCCATGCACGAGTTCCTGAGCCGCCTGCAGGTCCACCTGTCCTCCACCAGCCCGCAGATGTTCAGCGAGTTCCTGCTCAAACTCATGCACATCCTGTCTACAGAGAGGTATGCTTTCCCTAACAATAATGATTGCAATTATTGAATGTTACAGCACAGTCAGTTTCAGCACATGCTTTATGAATGGTCTTTGTGAACTAATGTCTCCTCCCGACCCTGCAGGGGTCCGTTCCAGGCCGGCCAGGGTCCACTGGACGCCCAGGTGAAGCTGCTGGAGTTTACTCTCGAACAAAACTTTGAGGTGGTGTCAGTAGCTACAATCTCCTCTGTCATTGAGTCCATCACATTCCTGGTCCACCACTACATCACCTGCGCAGACAAACTGGTGTCCCGCAGCGGCTCCGACAGCTCTGTGGGGGCTCGGGCTTGTTTTGGTGGTTTGTTTGCCAACATCATCCGGCCAGGAGACGCCAAGGCTGTGTGCGGAGAGACGACACGAGACCAGCTGATGTTCGACCTCCTCAAGCTGGTCAACGTGCTGGTGCAGCTGCCTCTGTCCGGGGACAGAGAGTTCAGTGGACGACTGCCGCCGACCGGCAGCGAGGCGGCTGACAGCAGCGTGTCGGACGAGGAGAAGGTCTGTGGCAGCAAAGAGAGTGTGGCTGGTGGCTCAGCGTTCAGCCAGGGGCCCCCTGCAGGGGTGGCCGACCTGGTGCTAGCCAATCAGCAGATCATGAGCCAGATCCTGTCCGCACTGGGCCAGTGCAACAGCAGCGCCATGGCCATGATCATAGGTGAGACCCATCACAGGCACTTCCTGTGCTCTACCAACAGCTTCAGTATCTTTCACCTTGTTATTTTTATTTTACTCCTCACTTTTTTTAGCAGCCTAAGACAGATTTAATAAATCTGAGTTGGTAGAGAGTGAATATTAGATTTGCATCAGGTGGACTTGACTAAAATATAACTATTTCCAAAAAATGAAATTGCTGCAAAAATTGAAATGTGCCTCAAATTGAATGAGGAGAAGGTATTTAGCCTATTCAACATTTGCCAAACATTTATGGGATACTGATAAATAGTCAACAAACGGACTCATTAATGCCAGTCATACATAAGTACTTGTGAAGTAAAACATTTACCACCATATATAAGCTACTGAGCAGAGCAGAGTTGTAGCCTTTATTGAATTAAACAGTACTGTGTTTAATTACTTTGGAATTCAACTAAATCATTTGTTATTGATAATAACATTTCACTTGTGGGTGAATTGTTCCCTTAACCAACCAGAGAACAAGAGAAAAACGTGTATTTCAGGAGGGTATATATATCTAATATCTTAATACACCAGAGACGGCTTTGGATATTGTAACTACGCAAGAAATACAACTTGAAGTGGTTACCTGTTACAAATACTTGGGTATCTGGCTTGATGACTGTCTCACTTTTAAACTTCATGTAAATAACCTGCTTAAAAAGCTGAGGGTTAGGCTAGGTTTCTTTTACAGAAATAAATCCTGTTTCTCGCTTGAGGCCAGGAAAAGGCTAGTCACTGTGACCTTTTTACCTGTGCTGGATTATGGTGATCTGATGTATATGAATGCACCTGCTAATTACCTGAGCAAGTTAGATGCTGTGTATCACAGTGCACTGAGATTTTTGACAAATTGTAAAGCACTTACGCATCACTGTACCCTGTATACCAAGGCGGTTATGCCATCACTTACTGTACGGAGGCTCAGTCACTGGTACTTTTTCATTTACAAAGCCATGTTGGATAAACTACCATCTTATATCTGCTCCCTGATCTCTCGGCGAATTGAAAGTACTTATTGCCTGAGATCGCATGCTGTGGTTTTATTAAATGTGCCAAGTGCTAGGACTGTCTTAGGGAAGAAAGCTTTTAGATGTGCAGCTCCTCTAACATGGAACAGTCTGCAAAAAGAATGGAAAATTACCAAGCTAGTACCACTACATGTTTTTAAAGCTCGGTTGGATGCTACAAAATCAGATGCTGTTGGTACCTGTACATGTGGTTAAATATGTCAATTGTAATCCCTGTACATTTTGCTGTATGATGTCCTTTTGTTGTTCTGTTGTTTATGTCTTCTTGTGGAACCTACTGCTGCAGGTCTCCCTTGAAAAAGAGATCATTGATCTCAATGGGATTTTACCTGGATAAATAAAGGTTTTGAATCTACTGCTACTACAAGCTTTCTGTCTCTGTTCCTCAGGAGCCAGCGGCCTCCACCTGACCAAACATGAGAACTTTCACGGTGGCCTCGACGCTATCTCTGTGGGTGACGGCCTCTTCACCATCCTCACCACCCTCAGCAAGAGGGCCACCTCAGTGCAGGTCATGTTGCAGCCCATCCTCACTTACATGGCCTGTGGATACATGGGCAGACAGGTGAGCAGCAGCCTGTTTGGACTCTGATTACTTGATATTAAAACTAGGGCTGTCAGTCGATTCAAATATTTAATCGCAAATTAATCGCACATTTTTGATCTGTTCTAAATGTACCTTAGAGGAATATTTTTCAAGTTTTTAATACTCTTATCAACATGAGTGGACAAATATGCTTTATGCTAATGTTTATTATCATTTGAACAATGACAAATATTCTCATGAATATTAAACACAACAACCTGTGTGTGTGTGTGTGTGTGTGTGTGTGTGTGTGTGTGTGTGTGTGTGTGTGTGTGTGTGTGTGTGTGTGTGTGTGTGTGTGTGTGTGTGTGTGTGTGTGTGTGTGTGTGTGTGTGTGTGTGTGTGTGTGTGTGTGTGTGTGTGTGTGTGTGTGTGTGTGTGTGTGTGTGTGTGTGTGTGTGTGTTGCCTGGACGCTGCAATCATGTTGCGCGCACTATTCTTTCACACACATACGGGTTTTGGGCAGCCAAAATCAACCGAAGGCCACTTTCGAGGGTTGTTTTTCCATACATCTGCAGGCAGTCTGTAAGGGCAATCAGACAACCCACACAGCTCTAGTTTACGCTGGTAACGACCTAGAGCACATCCCTCAAGTCCAGAGATGTAATCCGAAGACATGCAGCGATTTCTTCGGTCGTTAATTTAGAAAAAAAACCTAGTGCGCTCTGCCTGGCTACGTTAGCTAGCTGTTTATATTTGCACTTCCAGGATATTTGCACCTCCATGAAAATGGCGTATTTATATATATATATGGCGCGTGTTGCATTGTGGGTAGCTCGTGACGTCACTGTGTGTGAAAGAATCCGTGCTGACTTTTCGTACAATGTCCCACTGTCTGGCTTCCTGCATAAAGTCAAGTGCTCGGCGCAGTTGTCGGCGAAATGTCGCTCCTCTGTTTTCATTTAAACAGCTCCTTATATCCGTTAGCGCAGCTAGCTAGCACCAGATGCTAACAACAACAATAAACGTATGGTCTCTCTCTCGCTCGCTCGGGCCACACATACACACACCCTCCAGATGGCCAGTCGGTGCCTGCCGGTGAGCGTGGAAGTGTGGTCTGCCACAAGCGGGCGGCAGGAGCGGGGCTGTCAGCATCAGCTTGTAGATGGTATTTTAAACTCGATGCGCTCTGAAACTACGGGGCGGCCGAGGACACAACATGCGTTAATCGCGTTAAAATAATTAGTGGCGTTAAAAATGTTTTGCGTTAACTTGACAGCCCTAATTAAAACATGTCTTGGAAACCAATGCCAACGTTTTATTTTTTTACATTTTGTAGGGGTCTCTCTCCACCTGTCAGCTGTCGGAACCTCTCTTGTGGTTCATCCTCCGAGTGTTGGATACCAGCGAGGCTCTCAAGGCCTTCCATGACATGGGTTTGTACACACCACTTCTAAACCAGCCTTTTACTCAAAGTTTGGAAAAACCGATTGAACATGAAGTGTTACTTTCTTGTGTTTTATCAGGTGGTGTGCAGTTGATCTGTAACAACATGGTGACCAGCACCCGGGCCATTGTGAACACAGCACGCAGCATGGTGTCCACCATCATGAAGTTCTTAGACTCAGGTCCTGGGAAGTCAGCGGACGGCAACCTCAAAGCCAGAGTGATGACATCAGAGCCGGACAACGCTGAGGGACTCCACAACTTTGCTCCCTTGGGTGCTTTTACATCCTCCTCAATCTCTTACATTCAGTGGGACAGTATTTTACAGTAAAATACCCTAAAACCTTGCCACCATGTTTCTAATTTTCTATGATCCCTTTGTCCCTGCCCAGGCACCATCACATCCAGCAGCCCCACAGCACAGCCAGCAGAGGTCCTCCTCCAAGCCACGCCCCCCCACCGACGAGCCCGCTCGGCAGCCTGGTCCTACATCTTCCTGCCGGAGGAGGCTTGGTGTGACCTCACCATCCACCTTCCTGCTGCTGTGTTGCTGAAAGAGCTCCACATCCAGCCACACCTTGCCTCTCTGGCCAGTGAGTAGCACCCAGTTTAACAGTGACAGTACATTTGAAAAAACGTAATGTGGAATTTTTGGGATAATTTGTTTTAATCACTATTTTTGCAACCATCATTCACTTGTCCATCTCACTTAAATTCTAACTCAAATGTCATGTTCTGCTGTGTTCCCTTCAACCAGCCTGCCCGTCATCTGTCTCCGTGGAGATCAGTGCTGATGGGGTCAACATGTTGCCGCTCTCCACGCCAGTGATCACCAGCGGCCTGACCTACATAAAGATCCAGCTGGTGAAGGCGGAGGTTGCATCTGCGGTTTGCCTGAGGCTGCACCGGCCTCGTGATGCCAGCACGCTGGGTCTGTCTCAGATCAAACTGCTGGGCCTGACGGCGTTCGGCAACACCTCCTCTGCAACCGTCAACAACCCCTTCCTTCCTTCTGAGGACCAGGTGTCTAAAACCAGGTACCAAAAACTGATTCTTCACTGAGAGTAGATTCATGTGTATTAGATGTAGGTGCTGTAACCTTTATTTTCTTCCTACAGCATCGGGTGGCTGCGCCTTCTCCACCACTGCCTGACCCACGTCAGTGACCTGGAGGCCATGATGGCCAGTGCTGCAGCCCCCACCGCCAACCTGCTTCAGACCTGCGCCGCGCTGCTCATGTCGCCTTACTGCGGCATGCACTCTCCCAACATCGAGGCTGTGCTGGTCAAGATCGGCCTGCAGTCCACACGCATTGGACTGAAGCTCATCGACATCATGCTGAGGAACTGTGCCGCATCCGGCACCGACCATGCCAGTGAGTCCCACACAGCTGCAACAGCTTTAACTATAGGACACAGAACCACAGGGAAGAGCCTCCAAAACTCAAAGTTCAAATACTGAAACTCATTCCATTTCATTTGTTTTTATTTATTTGAAAAGTTTTTGGCATATTTTAGATTGCCTCACCAGGTGTTAAAAAAAAGTGTGTTGTTCTGCAAGGTCTCCATTGAATTTGAAAATGTGGTCATGCTTCATAATATCTCATTCATTTCTCAGAATTATGTAATTTGTAATAAGAGACTCAGTTTGTGTATTTTTGGTGCACAAATGTGAGTCCCGAACCAATCACTGGCCACACTTTAATTATTGTGCAGCTACTTGCAACAAATGACATAAAAAAATAAATGTTGTATAGCCATAGCTGACCAAACCTGAACCTAGGTCCCACAAAAGCTTCAGGCTCTGGTCACATTTAATTGTATGCATCATTGTTTCAACTCCCCCCCCCCCCCCCCCCCCCCCCAAACAAACCTGTAAGCACTTCTACTGTGGCAAAGCATCTGCCAAATTAATGTAATGTATGGAGTTAGTGTTGCACGGTGTACCGGTACTTGAAAGGTACCGCGATACCCTGCCGTTAAAAACGTTACGATTCCTCCGTTTCATTAGTATCGGTACTTTAAGAATGACGGGAGAAAGTACTCCGGTGAGAAAGCGCCGTTTTAATAAGAGCCGTGTGTGTTCAGCGCTCTGCTTCCACTCCCTGCAGCCGTGCCTGCAGTCCCTCCCCTCTCAAGCACGCTCTAAGTGCCTCCCCTCTCTCGTGCACGCGGCCACGCGCCAGCTGCCAGAGCATGTGAGAAAACGAGAAGCATAGCTGCAAGTACGAGTGCAACTGCCGCTGCGCCTCGGCTTGTTGACAAAAAAGACGCCAGAAGCGAAATTTGGAAGTATTTTATCGATATCTCTGACAGTGAGGGCAAGCCTACGGACACCACGAGGCCTGTCTGTGAGACATGTTTTAGATCCCTGCAAACCAAGGGAGCCAACACATCAGACTTGACTAAGCACCCGCCGACCGGAATCCAGAGCTGTTTAAAGAATTTAAAGACAGACAGGTTAGCGAATTTGATAGATAACATAATTACATCATGCTCAAGCCCATGCCCTCAGATCTAAGTCAAACAAGTGTCATTTATTTTGTGATAAACGAACGTTTTCGTAGTTGACGAGGCAATTAATGGCAATGATAACTGTCTAATATGGCTTTCTTTTTGCTAACTTACCAATGTGGCTAACATCTGCAATATACATTTTGTCAATAATTATTTATATTACTGTACTATTACATGTTAATATAATATAAAGTTAACTATCAAAGAAATCACATAAACTCAAGTATAAAGAAGAGACCATGTTGTAAGAAAACGCTTAACAGATAAACTACAATTGTATTGATCATGAAAATAATAAAAGTATCGGAATCGCAATTCTTGACTTAGTATCGGTATTGAAACCAAAATGTTGGTATCGTGACAACACTAGTATGGAGGTGAGTTAGGAAGCTGTACCATGCATATCTACAGGAGAAATGTCCACAAATTATAAAAAACCTACCATAATACTGTGCACATATTTCCTGTTGAAGGTAGCTCACAGGGGTTCAAAACTCATCTTAAAAAACCTAATTATCAGGCGATAACAACCCTTTTTTAAGTCTATCCCTCGATCGTTTCAGATTTAAACAGTCCCCTGCTGTTTGGGCGACTGAATGGCCTCTCGTCAGATTCCACCATTGACATTCTCTACCAGCTGGGCACCACACAGGACTCTGGAACCAAAGACAGGTATATAGCCACACCCCAATTTTACCCCAACTGTCCTTTAGACCCCCCCCTGTAAGAATAACAACCAATGAGTAACACTTTTTGTCAAGGTGATATTCCAGACAGACTCACGAGGCAATAGTTAAAAGTGTCCTTACGTCCTCTTTGTCATCTTTTACTGTCACATGGTTGTGTCGGTTGAATATAAATTCCAAGATGACTCACCTCACACTGAGGGTAGGAGATGAATTGAAGATTTTAAAACCACATGAGGAGTTATTTATCCAATATAACTCTGAATCTCCACCCTTCAGGATCCAGGCTCTTCTGCAGTGGGTCCATGACTCTTCTCGGGTGGCGGCCCACAAGATGAGTAGCCCGATGGGGTACACTGGCGCCGCTGCGGTCCCTTCCTCTTCTTCATCCAGAGAGTATGGTCTTCTCATGCCGTCACCCTCCCACCTGCACTGTGTGGCAGCCATCCTGTGGCACAGCTACGAGCTGCCGGTTGACTACGACCTGCCTGCACTGCTCAACAGAGAGCTCTTTGAGTCAGTCAACACTCTTTCCCTTATCATCAACACCGCACTTTAGTCTATTTGCCAACTCATTGAGATCTATTGTGAACCCAGGAAATGTTGAGTACCCCAACGTTTTATGTTAGAAATGAATAATTCGGGTTCCCAGCACATAGAAATGCTGGATTCTAGCTAGCATATGTTGCACAATTAGCACAAGTTGCATTAATTAGCTTTAATAAGCATATGCAAACAATAGCTAAAAGATGGCTTGGCCGATTTGGACAATTTTGGTGTCGTTTTGGAGGCATAGTTAGGATGTACAATCCATTTCTAATATTTCAGGATCTAAAATGGCAGTTTTGGGTCCCCTTAACTTTATAATCGACCAAAAATTCTTAAAAATCAGCCCACCAGGATAATGAATAGCCACTTTCTGGTTGAAATGCCATATATGCTCACCATAACATCATTTGAAAAAGGTGCCACATCTTACGCCATTAACTTTATGTTAAAGGTCCCATGTCATGCTTTTCTGGTTATCACCCGTCCCCTTGTGTTATGAAGGTTTTTCTGCATGTAAACGGTGTGCAGAGTCACAAACCCTCAAAGTACACCCTGTAGCGAGTAAAACTCTAACACAGAAAATGCCTGTCTCTGCTGCCCCAGAACGCCTCGTTGGAGATTTCTCTTTTTCCATTTTTTTCTTTCTGGGTACAGTAACGTGCCCATACCCAAATGGACCAATCCGCGGAGCCGTTACGTTAAGTCCTTGGATTCCTCACACACACACACTCAATCTTTTCTCAGCTGCAGCCCCGCGGATTTCTCAGCCTGAGACGGCGGGACGCGGCGAGGCTGCGGGTGTGTGTGTGCGCTCGGGCTGGTTTCGGGCTGGGTTTCGTTGTGTCTCGCTGTCTTGCAGACCCCACGCAGCAAGCAGGAAATGAACCCAGCTCACACTGTCCGCTCCTCGCAGCAGCGAGCGCCGCAACGTCCTGCCAACACGGCACCCAGACCCCACGCAGCATTCTCATCTGTTTGTCATTACTGGTGTCATTTTCTGGTTGCTAACAAACGCCAGTGTAAAACATAATCACTGATGTTCCGCTGTAACAGTGATGGACTCATCAGAACAGAGTAGGCGAGCTGACCAATCAGAGCACACTGGGCTCACAGGGAGGGGGGGGGGCAGGAGCTCCAACAAGCCGTTTAGGACAGAGTGAATACACATACTATACTATGTATGAGAAACCAATGTGATTGTGGAACATTGAACAATGTAAATGTATTCTAGTAGACCTCAACAATGGAAACATGATCAGTAGAAATGGCCGTGACACGGGACCTTTAAGGACATTTTACATGTTCTCATGTCAGAAAAAGCATCATTTATGAAAAATACATAGTGCTAATCTTTTTCATGTTTGTCCTAGTAACATATTTTTAACACTTCAAACAGTATTCAAATATTATTAAGCCTTTATAAATAAATACATTTACTTTCACATAGTATTCATACACTCAGGTACTTCTACTTTTACTTTTTACAACATCTGAGTACTTCTCCCCCTTCTGATAACCATGGATTAATGACTGATGATTTCCTCTTCCTCCAGGCTGCTGTTTAACTGGTCCATGTCGTTGCCGTGCAACATCGTGCTGAAGAAGGCAGTGGACAGCCTGCTGTGCTCCATGTGTCACATCCACCCCAGCTACTTCTCCCTGCTCATGTCCTGGATGGGGATCGTCCCGGTGCCCAGCGCCAGTCACTCTCAGGCCCAGCGCCACCGCCTCTCCATGACCGACGACGGCAAGAAGCAGCACGACGCCAACACCAGCTCTGCAAGCCTCACCGACGACTCCAAGCATGCAAGACCCCCGGTCAATCTGTCTGAGTCCCAGCTCACCACGCTGGCCGCTGCCTCCCAGTCTCCGGGAGCCATAGAGCAGCTGCTGGACTCAGGCTTACCCTCGCTGCTGGTCCGCAGCCTGGCCCAGTTCTGTGTGGGTCTCCTGGCCAGCGCCGACCTGCCTCTACCCGCTGCTCAGGCCGAAAGACGACACCACCATCACCACTACCACTCATCCTCCTCCTCATCCTCCTCATCCTCCTCATCCTCACACAGTCGACCCCCTCTGGCTGCAGAACTGGTCGCTCCAGTGCTGCGTTTCCTGACTGAAGTGGGCAACAGTCACGCCATGAAAGACTGGTTAGGAGGACCTGAGGTGAACCCGCTGTGGACGGCTCTTCTCTTCCTGCTGTGCCACTCCAGTGCCAGTGCCGGTGCCAACGCAGGCTGTCTGCCTCTGGGCTCTGCAGCTGCGGCCGGCCCCTCTGCATCCCAGCCCCAGGCCTCAGGCTCACGGTACTCCCTGGCGTCTTCTATGCAGGCAGGAGGGCTGACCACACAGCAGAGGACCGCTCTGGAGAACACCACCGTGGCCTTCTTTCTGCAGTGCATCTCCTGCCACCCCAACAACCAGCGGCTCATGGCTCAGGTCTGCTTTTATATTCCTCTCTGTTAAGACTAAAGATTTCACTTTGATTGACTTTTCAATTTCACACATAGATTAACTGTAAAAGCATAGAGCTGACTTTTAATACAAATTATAGTATTAACTATATTTTTAGAACATTCATTTCTTGTTCCTTTGTGGTTTGAATGTCAAACTGTTTTCATTTGGATATATTATTTCGTCTCAGTATTGATTTCAATCATTTTTCCTGTCTTTAGGTTCTCTGTGAGCTCTTCCAGTCTGCACCCCAGCGAGGCAACGTGCCGATCTCTGGAAACATCTCAGGCTTCATTCGAAGGCTTTTCCTGCAGCTCATGCTGGAGGACGAGAAGGTCACAGTCTTCCTACAGTCACCTTGTCCGGTGGGTAACTCACTCTGTTGTTGAAACCTAGAGAAGAATGTCTGCTATATCAGTTCTGGTTACATACAGCCTGAAAATATAATTATAACAATTATAACATTCACACAAAACCATTGTCCCCTTTTTTTTCATCAGTTATACAAAGGACGCATCAATGCCACCAGCCACATGATCCAGCATCCCATGTACGGAGCAGGACACAAGTACCGCACCCTCCATCTGCCCATCTCCACCACGCTGGCTGAGGTCCTGGACCGGGTGTCTGGTATGTTTCAACACACAACACTTACACTAGAAATCTGCCTGACAAACAAAACTCAGAACAAGATGAGTTCCTTCAAAATAAGAGTCTCAATCTTATTACTATCAAAAGTGCAAAACGAAAACTTTACCATAAGAAAATATTGGCATACAAATATAATCACTTCTCTAAAAGGTAACTCATTTTAAATATAGTTAGAAATATTAAAGGTCATTTACAATAATAAAAATAATATTAATATTAGTAATAAGCTTTATATTTGTATAGCACCTTTTATACAAGAATTGTAGCCAAACTGGCTTCACAGCAGTTCAATAGACAGATGAGTATAACATGACAGGATAAAAACAATGTAGAGGAGCAGCTACATTTCAACACATATATCCACGAAGATTAATACATGAAGACTTGTGACTCGGACTTGGGTGACTTGGACTCGGACTCGAACACAGGTAATGATGACTCGGACTCGACTCGGACACTCCTTGGGTGACTCGGACTTGGACTCGACTCCGACTCTCCCTAGGTGACTCGGACTTGGACTCGACTCCGACTCTCCCTAGGTGACTCGGACTTGGACTCGACTCCGACTCTCCCTAGGTGACTCGGACTTGGACTCGACTCCGACTCTCCCTAGGTGACTCGGACTTGGACTCGACTCCGACTCTCCCTAGGTGACTCGGACTTGGACTCGACTCCGACTCTCCCTAGGTGACTCGGGCTTGGACTCGAAAAGTGGGAACTCGAGAGTGACTTGGAGTCGTGAATTGGTGACTTGACTACAACACTGGTCCGAGATATATGAGGCTTCCTGCTTCTCTATTTGTCTCTGTCATGGGAAGAGAAGCAAGGTCTGGACACATCTCTCTGGGGTTCAGCCTCACAGTCAAATGGCCCTGCTGCAACATGTTTGTCATTTTATTTTATCCCAGTTTTCAGGTTTGCGATTCAGCTTGTTTAACCTTCAGAAATAAATTCAATAGAAATATACGTAGTTGTAACCATTTAACATCAGACAATTTGTCAACAAAACACCGCAATAGCCACATCTACTGCCTCTAAGCCACATTTTCATTGAATATTTGTTCACTGTTTTAAGCTTAACAACATTTATTTTGTTACAATAACTAAATAAATAAAGCCCCAATAGGACTATTTTATTACTAATTTGATATCATTCTATCTTCTATTTATCCAAACAGACACACCAAGCATTACAGCCAAGCTAATCAATGAGCAGAAGGAGGACAAGGAGAAGAAGAACCATGAGGAGAAGGAGAAGATGAAAGCAGACAGCGGCTTCCAGGACAACTACAGTGTGGTCGTGGCCTCAGGTACTGTTGTGTGTTTCAAATACACTCCTCTGACAACAGACCACCTCTGAGTCTTACCCCGCAGACAACATCAAAATTAGATTAATAAAGGGAATTGTGTATATTATTCACCCACAAATAGAAAGCACCGAATAGATGGATGAATAGTAGAGCGTCTGCAACAATGGAAAAATATCTACGATAAGATAGGATGGTCATGTTTTATCTGTCCTAGGATCAGTTTCAGTGTCTAATAAGCACATGGCAGAGTTTTGACATGTATAATACTGGCATAATAGATAAGTTCTTGGTTGCTTTAAACCTCTGTATTTTGATCCAAAATAAATATGAACGTGTATTTCATTCGATGAAAACAAGACTCACAGTCCAGTCCTGTCTCTCTGTTCTCCGTGTCCGTATTCAGGCTTGAAGTCCCAGTCCAAGCGAGCTCTTTCAACCCCCCCCAGACCTCCATCCAGGAGGGGTCGCGTGATGAGTGACAAGTTGACTGCTTCGTCTGGAGTGGACCCCTCAGCCAAAACCATCAGTGTGCCTGTCTTCCACCTCTACCACAAGCTGCTTCCAGGTACTGCAAACAGGGCAGGGTTCACATGCTCACTCACATCTGATGACATTCAAGTGTTTGAGTCTGAAACTGATCATCTCATGGACGAGTGTTTGCCTTTTCTTTGTGCTCCCCTCAGGTCAGCCCCTCCCATCTGAGATGACTCTGGCCCAGCTCCTGACTCTCCTGTACGACCGCAAACTTCCACAGGGCTACCAGTCCATCAACCTGACCGTCAAACTGGGCTCCAAGGTCATCTCCGACCCGGGCCTCTCAAAAACAGACTCCTTCAAGAGGCTGCGCACGGAGAAAGGTACCAACAACAGCTCTAATGTTCATTCAACATTCATTTATATTATTCTGTTTCATACCAACATTTTGCCAATCCCATGTGGGAATTCAAGGCCACACTATTTACATATTCCGAACATGTATATACAAAGCATGTGAACATTTAAAAAAGCTAACAAATTAAACCAGGATTTGGCTTTCTCTACCCTTAATCTAATGTCCATCCATCTGAAAGGGAAATAAATAAATGAAGAGATGATTTATTTGTACAACAATTTTCCTTTTGTTACTGCAATACCGATAATGTGAATAGAAAGAGGTCTAGGGGCTTACAACGCAGTCACATTCTCAACGCGTTGTGCTGCAGTGAGAATCCCGTCCAGTGGCTCTCCTCCTTCATCTATACCTGATGAGTTATATATTGTCAGGCTGCTTTAAGTCTTTGCATGTTGCGTTTTTTTATCAATGCAGATTTCATGTACTTAAAATGGCATTTAGAAAGATTGTGTTATACAAGGGATACTGTTCCTAGTATTTAAGCATTAGGGAATTATTTGCAGCCTTTAACTCTGATTACCCTTGCTTATCAAATGAAACGGATAATAAAGGAAGGACATTTAGTGAGGAGGACAGGTTGATCAAACTGCTGACCTTCCTTTAGCCAGAAGGCCACACTGCCGATCCATGGATGTGATGCCTTTAGCACTGCTTATATTTAGCCATCCAAATCTGCAGGCTCCAGGGTCAGCACGAGGTTGCATTCATTCATGACATCAATGTCTTTTTTGATGATCTCAGCACCGGTGAATCTGCAGATCTGCTCAGGCACCTTTTGTCTGTTCACCATGTCCTGCCCACTCTCCATAGTTCACATTATGGTCTGTTTGTGATGGATGGTTGTGTAATTCAGTACCATAGATGTTCTAATTTGAAGGACAAAATGGTTTTTTTTGTAAGTGTGTTTCTTTCCCCCCTCGAATGCACATGTGGAAGTCACAACGGCTCTTATGTACTGTTAAGTGTCCCATTAAGCCACACATTAAGCCAGCAACCAAGAGAAATCCTTTCATTTTCTCTTCTTATCATATCGCCATGACTTTCAAAACTTGTAAAAAAAAAAAAGAATCTAAATGTAAATCCAGACCCTATCTGTGATTAAGGGATTACTCTCAACATCTGAACTGGCGGCTAGCAGTGCTGACAGTGCAAAAGATCAGAGCTTGCAGCTAACATTTTAGAGATAACAGAGTTCACATGAGCGGAGCTGGACTGTGGGTGTTTGAGCCCAGTGTGGTGACCATCAGCTATGGAGTGAGACTCACATGCAAATACAGCATGGCTGGCTACCTTAGGTATCAATTAATAATGTTCAGATTCCTTCTTGATTTTATATTTCATATTCTTGTTAACATTATTTGCATTTTTAAAAAAAAACTCTCCCACCTTGTCAAATGTGCTTTGGTACGACTGCCTTTTATTGTGGTCATGCCAATAAAGCCTTTTTGAATTTGAGAGGGTGAGAGAGGTCCAGCAAAGTGTTGGGTAGAAAAACACATCTAGAAAGTTGTGCAGAGCGATGAGTCATCTGCCAGATTTCTCCTCTGTAAGAGATTATGAGTGGCTTTTAAGGGATGACCTATCAATAGACCAGAGTTTTATGTTATCATAAAACGGTAAGACTGTGCTTCTACAATAAACTGGTAGAGGGTTAGCATTAGTAGAGGGGGGTGTGGTGTGTCTTGCTTTCCACCCTTTGTTTCATTTTGAGCGTCTGACTTTGTCTTCACATTATAAGTGTAAACAAGGACATTAGGACGGTGTTTCATCTTCTGTCTTTGGATCAGCACATAGCTCATCCAAGGATAGCCCCCCCCCCCCCCACTGCAGACATTAAGACCTGCTGATGAATGAGAGCCAGTGTTCCTCCTCCTCCTCCTGCTCTCTGCTGCACTGTTGGAGCGATGGGAGTGATAGACTGATGATGTGCTTCACCACACAGCTCAACACTGAAGTCTAGAACGATTGAAATAAGATATGCAACCAGGGAAAACATTATTAAACAGACACACATTCAAACACACATACTTTATAGAAAACAACAGAATAAAAATGAAATCCCCCAGAAATGTGATAATGAAGGAAACTAGGATGATAAATGAGAGCCACTTCGAGTGAGGGAAAAAAATAAAATCAGTGATACTAATTATACATTTTTTAAATGATAGGCTTCAGACCAACAATACCACCATGCTAGTCAAAATGTGCATACACGTTTAAGCATATGTAAGGCTAAACCCCACTTAATACCCAATTTATTTTCAAGGACCATGCAATAATCGTGAAAAAAAGGAAATCCACACTTGGCAGAAACAGCCACTGGCTTATAGCATTTAAATAAAAACATTAAAGTTGGGTTTTATATGGAACACGTGTGAACAAATCTGACACCTTTTTCTCTTGTGTCCCTCCCATACATCCCAGTTGTAGATATTATATATTTTATTTAGAGTAGGTTCTACATTTAATAAAGTGTCCAAAATGTGAGACAGTGCGTGAACACACAACAGGTCCTCTGTTTGCTCTGCTTGCAGTGGACCACTGTGACATGCTGAACAGCTGTCCTGAGGATGAGCCCATGACGCCAGGGGACGAAGGTCTGGACGCTGCAACGGACGAGTCTCTGCTGGAGACCAAACCCATCCAGTCCCCGCTGCAGGTCTTTGCAGGCATGGGGGGGCTGGCCCTCATCGCAGAGAGGCTGCCCATGCTCTACCCTGATGTCATTCAGCAGGTACCCTCACACAGAAATATGCTAAACAATAAAAGAACCAAGACAGTCAAGGAGGGCTTAATCTTGAACCAGTAGAGTGCGGCAGTAATGACGTATTTTGGTAGGCCGTCCCTAGGGTAGCATCGCACGTGGTCCTTTGAGACATTTTGAATTTCCTGTCGATATTTGGAATATTGTAGGAAAGAAGCTCTCAGGTAAATGCACATTTATGACACATAAACAACCACTTTTATGATTGTTGATGTGAAAAAGCAATCGACCAAAGGAAAAGCTTTAAGGCCATAAAGAAACTACAGTACGGTCACATGAATGCACGTCACCACCGCTAAGCTAAAGGAGGCTAATGTTAGTGTGATCATGTTTAGTGGTCTTATTTATTCACTAATATTGGCAACTGCCGTTTTTAAGAAACATAGAAGATTCAGACATTCATGAGTGGGGTAGTTTCTGACCTTTTTTGATGTCGAGAACATAACATTTCAAATATTTTAAGCTTGATTTAAATACAGATCTTTCTTTAGAGATCCAACCAAAAGAACGTTTAAAAATGAATAGACTTCAGGGCTCAATCCTGCACCACTCTATTGAAGCATGTTAAGAATAAGCGCTTGAATTGAATGGTCATTTCATGAGATGAGTTTCATATTTCGTATTCACAGTATGTAGAGGGGACAGCCTCGTCTCCCTCAGCTTGAATTGGCTACATCATGACACTGCAAAGTACTCGCCCTCCTCATCCTGCTGTCAGCATTGTCTCCCGTAGCTCTCACCTTTGCTAACGTTCCACTCTGTCCCCAGGTGAGTGCCCCCGTGGTGCCCTCCGCTACGCAGGAGAAGCCCAAGGACAGCGACCAATTTGAGTGGGTGACCATCGAGCAGTCGGGCGAGCTGGTGTACGAGGCCCCCGAGTCCATCGCCGCCGAGCCCCCGCCAATCAACAAGCAGCAGACTCAGTCATCGTCCTCATCCTCAGCCTCAGTGCAGACCATGTCTCCCATCCCGGCCCACTCTCTGGCAGCGTTCGGCCTCTTCCTGCGCCTGCCAGGGTACGCAGAGGTGCTGCTGAAGGAGAGAAAGCATGCCCAGTGCCTGCTCCGCCTGGTGCTGGGGGTCACAGACGACGGAGAGGGCAGTAAGTCTGACCAATCAGCTACCAGTACCATCAGAGTGCCTCACAAACAAATGGAGGTTTTCACGTCTGATTTGATTCTTACTTCTCTAGTCAGTTTAATATTCATCTCAAGATTCAAATGTTTTATTGTGATATACAAAATCTTAAGTCCCAGACTCCTCCAACAATGCAACATAATATATATAAGACATACAAAATAATAATAATAATAATACAAATATTGCAAGAAATAACAAAATAGAAATAAAGTAGTGCAAGAAAAAGTTGCAAAACTAATGCGCAAGTAATGCAGAAGAAGTGAAATATATATATACCTGTAAAATACAATAAGCTTAATTTAGCAGATAATGCTTTAAGTGAATGCAGGAGTCTATTTACATGTAAACATCATAAGATAAATAAGAACAGAATGTACAAAGATGTTGATGGGTTATTGATGTCAGAGTATTTTTCCATCTTGTTGGGTGAGACATCAGGCCGCAGCTAGACAGACACAAACAGAATATCAATAGTGTCATTATTCAGTGGTCATTACAAATACCAAAACTATTTCATAGCAGCATCACATTGTCTTCAGATGACCAGTAAATCAATGTTCTGCTTTGGCTTCCTCTCAGGTCACATCCTCCAGTCTCCGTCCGCCAACGTGCTGCCCACGCTGCCGTTCCACGTGCTGCGGGCGCTGTTCAGCACCACCCCTCTGACAACTGATGACGGAGTCCTGCTGCGCCGCATGGCTCTGGAGATCGGAGCAATCCACCTCATCCTGGCCTGTCTGTCAGCCCTCAGCCACCACGCCCCCCGCAACCCCAACGCCAACAGCAGCGTGTCCGAGGTACGGCCCGCTGTTCAAAATAATACGTCATATTTATATAGCGCTTTTCCTAGTGCTCAAAGACCCTTATGGGGGGGGCTGCAGCAAACTCCCTGTCGCCCCAGGTCCGGAGCTCAGTCCTGATGGGCTGCAGGGGGGGGCGCTGCCAAGGTTGTTGATGGCTTTGGATGTAATGAGTGATATCGTGAAGTCAATCTGGTGTTTGAAGGGTAGCCAGTGGGGGTCGTGGAGGATAGGGGTGATGTGGACGCAGTGTCGGGTGAAAGTGTGGAAGCAGACAGCAGAGTTATTCACACACAAGCCCACATACACAGACTTTAATAGGGCCAGCCATGTTCTGGAAGCTGTGTAAAGAGGGTAGCAGCATGCCCAGTGTTTGTTGTTGTTTTGGTGACACCCCTCTGTGTGACAAGCCAGAGACCTGTCACTGTGGCCGTCCCTCAGCCCCCCGGTCCAAGAGTTTCAATAAGAGCACAAAATAAGAACATCAACTCCGAAACAAAACATATGTTTTTCATCCATGTTGGCTCCTATATACTATATATTATTCATATCAAGCTAGAAAAACATAAGCATGCTGTGATAGCTTGTCGGGAAGAAATGTTAATCTCCTTATTTAGGTTCCTTGACGTATTACCTTTAGATATCTGAATGAAAATGTTTTCTAAGCTATTCCTTTAAAGACATTCCTACATTTTTCTAATGTGAGGCTGTATAGGGAAACAAACATGAAGTTGTTTGCTTGATGTACAAATGTTTTATTTTCATGATTCCACAGTGGTGTATTTGAATGTATCTGGATACACCTTTTCAGACATGTATGTCAGAAAAGGTGAGAGCCTTTTGGATTAAATGAGCCCAATTTGAGTTATGTGTGATAGTTCCTATAGTAGACATTTCTTTGTATTCCTTGAGAGCATTTTTTAAACTTGACATTGCTGTATAATTAGTCTCATGAAACTTTACAACCAAAAATGACAGACAGAGGTCAATCAAAGCGTGTATGTCTCACCCAGATGTATTGACAAAAAGAGTGTCTGGACAGTGTCTTCTATGTGGCTAATACTGTCGACTTTTGATATACCCCTGAAACTAATGAGTGTTATTCAGGGCCAGAGAATATAAACCATTTCTATTTTCCACTCCAACAATACACTGGCAAGCATTGTCCTTAAAAACAAGGGGAATGTAATACATTCTCAGAATGAGTGTTCTTAAATCCCCAACCCAGAGCCATCCGTCTAACTCTAAACATTATTGTGTGTGTTTCGCAGCCACAGATGTCCAGTTGTCACGGTGGTGGCACCAGTGAGGAGCAGCAGCTGTACTGGGCTAAAGGCACTGGTTTTGGTACTGGATCCACAGCCTCAGGCTGGGACGTGGAGCAGGCTCTCACCAAACAGCGGCTGGAAGAGGAACACGTCACCTGTCTGCTGCAGGTGAGTCCACTCAATGTCAGATCATTTCAAAGCCAGTTTTGAAAATAATTTGGATGGAGCCTAAACTTCTTTCAGAATTCCAACATTGTCCCAGCAATGGGGAAATGTACATTAGTACAACAGCAGAAGTATAGTGCTGATAAAGTGAAGAGAATAGACTTGCATATAAAAATAACTTAGTATGCACATGTTATCAATATTAAAAAAAACTAATACCAGATACATGTAAAGTGTGAACTTAAATGTGTCAATTAAGACAAAGTGGACAGGGTTTTTTGGTAATTGGTCAACAGTGTGTCTACATTGTTTTTCTCACCAGGTGTTAGCAAGCTACATCAACCCAGCCGGCTCCAGCAGCTGCCAGAGTGCGGAGGCGTGCTCCGCAGAGAGCCGAGCCTCCAACAGCTCTGCGCTGCCCGCCGTGCTGCAGGAGCTGCTCTGCCAGTCCTGCCTCATCCCCGCCATGTCCTCCTACCTGCGCAACGACTCAGGTAGGCTCCATGATTTTACTAATGAAGGCCAAGACACCCAAAGCAAGAGGGAGTATTTTGACACCATGTAGTAATAACTGTCTTTGGCTGTGATTAACACTGATGAGTGTGGCTAAGAGAAAGAGCAACACACACAGACAGAGAGATTTAGAGGGAGTTTGTGTGCGATTGTGAGTTATAATTAAGATTGAATTAACTTGCCAATATGCCACCAACACCCACAAATCATCTTTGTTAAGCGCATTCGGTTTAGGAAGCATGTGTGTGAAATGAGCACAATCTGTGTGTGGTTTAATTATCTAGGATTTTAAATGCTACACCTCCTGAAAACCAACACCTGATAAAGGTGAAGGGGGTCTAACTTTTCTGGGGTAAACCCTGAAATTATGACGGTGGTAGCCCTTCAGTGCTTGGTAAGGCAAGGCAAGTTTATTTATATAGCACTTTTCAACACAAGGCAATTCAAAGTGCTTTACAAAAAACGAAAGACATTAAGAAAATGGCATTAAAAAGAAAAGATAATAAAATAAACATTAAAAGAAAAAATACATGGATAAAAGTTACAGTGCAGTCTAAGATATGAATAGTTCAATTAAAAGCAGCGACAAAAAGAAAAGTCTTCTTGCTGGATTTAAAAGTAGTCAGAGTTGCAGCAGACCTGCAGGTTTCTGGGAGTTTGTTCCAGATATTTGGAGCATAATAACTGAACGCTGCTTTACCATGTTTAGTTCTGACTCTGGGGACAGAAAGCTGACCAGTCCCTGAAGACCTGAGAGATCTGGATGGTTCATAATTTAGCAGGAGGTTAGAAATGTATTTTGGACCTAAACCATTCAGTGCTTTATAAACCAGCAGCAGTATTTTGAAATCTATTCTTTGACACACAGGAAGCCAGTGTAAAGACTTCAGAACAGGAGTGATGTGATCCACTTTCTTAGTGTTAGTGAGGACTCGAGCAGCAGCGTTCTGAATCAGCTGCAGCTTCCTAATAGATTTTTTAGTGAGACCTGTGAAGACACCATTGCAGTAGTCGAGTCTACTGAAGATAAAAGCATGGACAAGTTTTTCCAAATCCTGCTGTGACATTAGTCTTTTAATCCTAGATATATTCTTTAGGTGATAGTAGGCTGATTTAGTAGCTGTTTTAATGTGACTGTTGAAACTCAGGTCAGAGTCCATGACTACACCTAGATTTCTGGCTTTATCTGTTGTTTTGAACATTGCACACTGAAGCTCAGTGCTAACTTTTATACGTTCTGACTTGGCTCCAAAAACCATTACCTCAGTTTTATCTTTGTTTAATTGGAGAAAGTTCTGACACATCCAGTCATTGATTTGTTCAATGCACTTACTCAGTGTTTGAATTGGAGCATAGTCTCCTGGTGAAATTGTTACGTAAATTTGTGTGTCATCTGCATAGCTATGGTAACTTATTTTGTTGTTCTTCATTATCTGAGCCAGTGGTAGCATGTAGATGTTAAAGAGAAGAGGCCCCAAGATGGAGCCTTGAGGAACCCCACATGTCATATTTGTCAACTCAGATGTGTATTTACCTATAGAAACAAAGTTGTTTCTGTCCTTTAAGTAGGATTCAAACCAATTTAGAACTGTTTTCGAAAGTCCCACTTAGTTTTCTAGTCGGTCGAGTAATATGCTGTGGTCAACAGTGTCAAACGCAGCGCAGAGATCTAATAATACTAACACTGAAGTTCTGCCGCTGTCTGTGTTTAAGTGGATGTCATTAAAGACCTTTACAAGAGCAGTCTCAGTGCTGTGGTTTGGACGAAAGCCTGACTGGAACACATCGAAACAGTTATTTAAATGCAAGAAATTACTCAACTGTTGAAAAACAACTTTTTCAATGATTTTACCTAGAAATGGGAGGTTTGATATGGGCCTGTAATTGTTCATTACTGAAGCATCTAGATTATTCTTTTTTAAGAGCGGTTTAATGACTGCAGTTTTCAGGGCCTGTGGAAAAATACCTGATTGAAGAGATTTGTTTACTATATGAAGTAGATCTGAGGCCATGCAAGGAAAAACATCTTTGAAAAATCCTGTTGGAATAATATCAAGGCAGCAAGAGGAGGATTTCAGAAGTTGAATAATGTCCTCTAGGTTTTTATCATTAATCTGATGGAATTGTGTCATGGTGTTTGAATTGACGTTAAGTGGAGATAGGGACAACACATTTGCTATTCCTGATGCAGAGGCACTGACTGCTTGTCTGATTTTCTGTATTTTGTCAGTGAAAAAGGAGGCAAGATCATTGCACGCCCTGGTGGATAGAAATTCAGAGGCTACTGACACTGGGGGGTTAGTTAGTCTGTCGACGGTAGCTGTTGTTTTTGTTTTTGGTAATGATGTCGGAGAAGAACGATTGTCGTGCGTTTTTCAATTCCAAATTATAAAGGCCAAGTCTCTCTTTATAGATTTCAAAGTGAACCTGGAGATTTGTTTTTCGCCACCTACTTTTTCGACACTCTTTTTTCTGCTCTCACGCTCATGGCCTATCTCCATGGAGATATTTTCTTGCCAGACACTTCCTTTACCTTAGTTGGAGCAATGGCATCTATAACATTTTTAATTTTTGAATTAAAATGATCTACTAGCTCATTTACTGAGATGTTAGCAGGGGCAAGTGTGGAAGAGAAATTCTGATTAAACATTTCCCTAGTGTTTTCAGTTAAATATCGCTTTGTGGTTACCTCTTTTTGAACATTTTTGTGAACAGAAATAGAACTCTCAAAGAAAACACAGGAATGATCAGAGAGTGCAACATCAGTCACCACAACCTTAGAGATATTCAGACCCTTTGAGATAATTAAGTCCAGAGTGTGCCCCTTATTGTGCGTGGGCTCCGTCACATGCTGAGTCAGTCCATAGCTATCAAGAACACAAAACAGTTCTTTAGCCCCTCTGTCCTGGGGGTTGTCAACATGGATGTTAAAATCACCAACAATGACTAGACGGTCAAAGTCAATACACACTATAGACAGCAGTTCAGTAAAGTCATCAAAAAAGCTTGCACAGTATTTGGGTGGTCTATAGATATTTAGGAACAGAGCTCGAGAGGAGCATTTCAGCTGAAGGGCCACATATTCAAAAGAATCAAAGATCCCATAAGATGTCTTCCTGGATTGAATGGAATCATTGAACAAAATAGCAACTCTGATTCGATAAGAACAGCTGCACTGTTATTTTGTTCAATCCAAGTTTCCGTTAAAACATAAAATCAAGATTGTGCTCAGTGATAAAATCATTGATTAAAAATGTTTTTTTGGTAGCACAACATCCTAACAAATCACCACTAACAGCAGCTATATGATGGACTAGCATCGCTACTTTGCTTTCTATGATCCATTCGGTCTGAAAAATACAGCTCATGATTAGCAAACACGGCCAAGCTTCGCCTTCATTTTATGTTTCTGAAAACGTTCAACAAGTGCTCAGTGCAACCAGAAAAAAAGGTAAAGCCATGCGACTACACACCACCTCGCTCTTCCTTTTAAAGGGGGATCAGAAAAAAACTTGATATGGACATTCAGCCTAAGATGGCTGTAAAGTGAATAAGTTAGTCCTGTTAAGTAACAGGACAGCAGCATGCCCACTCTTTTGTGCAACATTTCATGGGGTCCTATTTTTATATTTGTTCAGATGAGTTCTTATTCTTGGGTTGTTCAGTCAAATATTTTGACCCACTGATTTCTGGTCATGATGTGAAGGGCTGCCAGATACCGGCCTTTAAGGCTGAGAGAGTGGACAGATTTTCTGGTCTTCTCTTTTAGTGATTACTGCAGGCTAGAGTTCCTGCACTGCACTCTAGTTCTGGATGACTGTAGAGGTAGGTATGTATGTTCCTGTGTGTTTGTGGAAGAGATGGAGGATTTTTGCAACATGAAACAGCAGATGGAGCTACAGCATCTTAGACTGAAACTGAGGCTGCCTTGGTTTTAAATCACACTGAAGTAAGTCCCAGTACCATACATGTAATGAGTCCAGGCTTATAGGACACACTGTCCTATCAAAACTTTTATATTTAAACTCAAGAATAAAAGGCATGTCTTTCCACTGTGATTAGGTTTTGTTATGTCATAGTTTGTTGTAATTTAATGTGAGCAAATTGGATTGTAATGTTTCTAGCAAGAAGCAGGAGCATGGCTGTAGATTGTGTGCTGCAGCTTAGACCCCATGCTCAGGTCATCTCTTATACTCCCAGTCAGTTAAACCTCTGGTTGAAAAATGAGCTTCCAGCAGAGCTCTCAGTACTCAGTGGGCTTCAGCAGTGTGGAGGTCAGGTCAGCCCATTGCTTATACCCTGCCTGGCCTCTGCAGGGAGCGGCTGGTTATTAGTGCTGCGCTGACCTTCTGAGTCCGGCTGCAGTGGGGCTTTACACTGCTCTCCTCACTTGTGGGCCATGTGGCAAAAATAAATCTATGCTTTTATAACAATTGTATTTGCATTTCCGGCAGTTCATGTACAAATATAAGTCAAATAACCCACAATTGACTATTCTGCTTTTTCTGAAGCATTCAACCTTAGTAGAAATAATAAAATAAGTTATTGAAAGCTTTTCAAAAAAGTACACTGAACTTAAGTCGAGACAAATTACTTTTGCCAATGTCAATAATGTACTTCTTTTTTTTTGACAACATGTTCTTATTTTAAGATTAGGTGAAATCAACCTTAATGTTTTGCCTAACATTACTTCCAGCTATTAAGAAGAACAGTTGTGTAAACTGCACCATACAACAGCAACCAATTCATGCCCCAGTTTATAATAAAATCACTGTTTTTCAGTAATGCAACAATAGTTATTTGCCTTCTTTCCAGATAAATAAAGTTAGAGGATTTTTGTAACTGTTAGGGTTATTTTTGGTGTTATAATATTGGATTGCATTATTCTGTGAAGTGCAAGTAGCATCCACTTTTCTATGTCAGTCTTTGAGCAAACTATTGATTGCAGTTCCCATTAGGATGTTGGTGTAAAAGTGAGTCA